TGTGGCATCTGCAAGGGTTATTTGGTTGGGGCCGTCACTGTCACCATCTGCATGCATTCCTGTTAGTGTTCGGCCATTCAATCATTTGTTTCATTCATTCATCTGCATGCATTTCTTCAATGTTCATACAATCCATTCACTTCATGCAGTTGTTATCATGTTTATTGCTATTAGTTTAGTTTGAATTTGAAACAAATGTTAAGCAAAATTTAAATATTTATTATAACAGTTTGTCGTAGCTGTTTGTACAAATACTTGAGTACTAACACAGCAAGAATCCAGATCTGTCCAACTTGTAAGCAGAAATCATTACTCTACCCAACCAGACTGCGGCCCAAGATTATCAGGCCTGTTCACAATTCTATTTCAATTGATTTTTTTTAGAACAAATATCAAAATTATTTTTTTTTTCAAATGGTATAAATTTAGAGAAAACATTTAATTGTCATTTTATTTTTACAGAAAAGATTTGATATTGCAGTCAATTGTCTACAAGGTCGTTCCTAAACTTTATGAAAGTGAGTCTTGCCTTGGAATCATTTGATTAGTCATTTTCAAACTTAACATCATCTCCTGATTTGATTATTTTCAGCCGTCGCTTACACCACACTATCATTGTCTTTCATTTTATTTCAATATAACATTGTGATGGATCTTCAAATCATTTTCCTTTTTAGACGAATGTGTGAACAGATTAAAGTTCAATCGACTCTCAGGACACCAAAGAATCAACAGAGACAACGAAGAAAGTGAAAAAGAAACAAATGTGTCATCTGCCGCTGACCTCACTAACAACGACAACAACAAAAGTTACCATCAGTTAAAGAAATTTAACATCATATTTGATGGGGATGTTGTCAACGTGTCCCTCACTGCTAAAAGTACAAACAACTTGCAACCCGAAAATGTTAGTGCCACATCAATCAGTCATCTCAGTGTTTCTAGCCAGTGCACGCTGACACATTCCTAATATTTACAGTCCCCACATTATCATATTTCACTAATTTTACTAACCAACAGACCAGGTACTTTTTGTGCCCCGTGAAAGTTCAAATCGGCCACCTCCTCAAGCTGATCACGCACAAATTCAATAATGAGTTCAGAGACAGCATTCAAGTATTAACTCCATTTGTTTCATTTTTCCAATGTGCACCTCATATATTTCATATATTTTCTAAAAAAAAATTGTTTTATGTGCCTGTATGTTTTCTGCTGATGCTTCAATTCAATGCTTTTCGTGCATTTAAGTAACTTTCATGGGAATGTATTGCTTTCATTTGTTGTTTTGTTGGACTATCTATCATTGAGACTTTTGTAAAAAAAAATCTTTTGTTAAATGAAATTTCATGATTTAAATAACGTTTAATTTTTTCTCTAAAATTGTAAGATCCTAATCTGCCATGAAGGGAGATTGCTCGCCGAAGACTTGACACTAATGGACGTTTATTACATGTGCAACATCAAAAAAAGCACATCCCTAAACCTGGCCTACTTTGTCTATTGCACTAACTCACTGACTAATGTTAATTCTTGCATCTCCTCATCTAACGATAACAATAATGATAACAATGGAAATAATAACGATGATAACAATGACAACGATGGTGATGATGGCATGGATGTTGATGAGGAAGAGGAAGATGGAAGAGAGGAGGGGGTGAATCAGGATGATTGCTGTAACAACAATAATAATGATAGTAAGAAAAGTAACTGTAAGTACAACAACATCAACAACAACAATAGCAGTGGCACAGTTACCACAACAACAACTGCAGACGCAAGCAACTTCTATGACCACCTACCAACCATTAACCAGATAACCTCCAGCCAGCTGAGTCAGTTTGATTGTATGAACAACAACAATACCAACAACATCAACAGCAGCAACGACAACATTTTCAACAGTATCAGTAACAACAAAACCCTAGATGATGATCAACAAACTATTCTGAACGATCCAATACAGTGGGAGAGCTGGAAGTTGGTTCAATTTAAGGAACCAATGGCAGTAAGTCAAATTGGGTCACAAACATTTGACCCACATTTTTTAAAAAATGATATTGTAGTGAGAGAAAGCAATTACGCCGATAATTCACTCGTTCTATCATCATCATCCTCATCTTCATCATCTTTTTTCCAGGCCAATCACATTGGTCATAATGTTGCAGCTGTTGGCGTTCATTTGGATGTTAGGATTGCTAACAACAACAGCTGCAATGATATTTTAAATAATAATGACGAGAATGGTGAAGTCGTTAACATTGTAAAGAACGGTCCTGAAGTTTTGCTGACAGGTTCACTGAGTGCTGAAGAGAGTCTGTCCATGAGCCAGCAGGACCTTGATGACGGTGCCTCCAATGGTCGCTATGATGCTAACCATGTTAACCAGGATCACATCAACAACAACAACAACAACGTTAACCAGAGGTACCCACAACAACTGCAGAACCACAGTATTAAGGACAATAATTTTGCTGCATATGATGATGATGACGAAAGTGATGATGATGATGATAATGGACCCAGTAAATCAAAATATGCCAAAATTGGCACATCCCTAGGCGTGTCAAGAACGGAATTTGAGGAATCATTACATCTAAAGCCGTGCAGAGTCTTGCTGTACAAGCTGCCTGATTTTTCATTCCTTCAATCATCTTGTGATGGAGCATCAGCTGCAGTACAGAACTCTACGACATCAGCATCGTCTGCTGAATATCATTTCAGTGCCAGCAACAACAACAGCAACGCCGATGATGGTGACATGGTGATGAAGACATCAGCAGGAGATCCATCGTCCGATTGTTCCGAAAACAGTCGAGTTGGCAGTGCTGCTTCTGCTACTGGTCAAAATAAATTCAAAAAGTTTTACTCAATGAAGACGTTGATTGCAAAATACGAGAAGGAGCTCGATAGACTGAATAATATAAAGAAAAAGTTGGTGCTGCTGAAGGAAAAGAAGAAGAAAAGGATGAGGAAAAAGATAATCGATTCATCCTCATCATCGTCGTCATCATCAGCAGCATCAGCAGTCATAGAAAGTAATGTTCCTTTAAATAATGATAGCAGCAGTAACAGTAATGCTTACATGATGGAGGCCCATGCTTATGCCCTGATTAACAATCCTTCAAGTGACAGCAGTGCATCACACACCGTCAGGGATGTTACTGTTAGTAGCTGTAATTGTATCCACGCTGCTCCAAACCCTCCCCTGGAAGATGTGAGGCTGCATCCCTTGTCGTCAGTGGCATCAGCTACAAGAACGTCATCAACAACGACGATGACAGTGAAGTTGGAGGAGGTGACCCCTGAGGAGATGAGGGACGACGACAACAACTGCAGCATCGAGGCCAGCGATCCGACCAATGTTGACGGCAACCAAAATTCAACCAACTTTTTGGATGGTAATAATTTTAACAACACAGAAAAGAACAACAGCAGAAGTTTTAAAAATTCCGAAAGTGCAAACAACGAGACTAATGGCACTTCATCTTCTTTTACAAAAACGCACTGGAATCTAAACTCTACAGCACTACTAGCAAATGGAAGAGTTAGCAAACAAAATGCTAAAAGTGAACTTACAATGAAAGTAAACAGGGCTGTTGTGGCCTGTGCTGGTAATGATAACAATGAATCTGTCAACCCTAACCACAGAGCAGCCAGGGTTAGCAGCTCTCCATCATCAACCTCCCACTCGACACTCAGCAGCAGCAATAATTTATTTGCTAACAATTTCGTTAATAATTATTCTTGTAATAATAATATAAACTATATTAATTGTAATAATTTAAATAATAATAAGTTACTGACGAACCAGCCACAAAATTTTATGTCAAACAGTTCGTTCGTAAATCAACGCCATCAACTCAGACCGTACACAAATAATCGGCTCCAACTTATGAGCGCTTCTACCACTAATTCACAAACTTCAACTCTCTGCCTGACCACTGACTCTAAACCAGGCATGTGCTGTTCCAATTCCGTTGGCCAGTTCAACCCTTACAGATATTCTGACCCCAGGATGTTGAATTATTTGGCAGTTTATAATGGCGAGCCAAGTAGCACTCAAGTCGTATCTGCGTGTGGGGGCTACAGACCGATGTTCGCGCCAAAGCCAGGCACTAATTTTATGGGAGAATTTTTTAATAAGAAGTCCAAATTAGGGATGGTTGGGGGATGTGCTATTCTTAGATCTGCTGCCATTGTTAAGCAACAACATTTGCAACTGCAGCAACAATTGCGACAGCAGCAACAACTACAACAACAGCACCAACAACAACAACAGTTTAGGCAATTACAGCAGCAGCAACAAGCATTAAAACAGCAGCAGCCCCAGTTGAAGCAGCATCAATTGTTTCATCCAAAGAGGGCAGCTAAGAATAATTTTAGTAAAAGCTTCGATAATGACGTCAACATCGTCAGTAATGCTAATTTAGTGAGTAAAAGCGAATCTAAAAATAAGATGACATCAACGTTTGGCGAACAGATCCATGTCGGAAACTGTTTACAAATGGTTTCATCTGCTAATAACGCCAGAAGTATTAGCAACAGCATTAAAGTTAATGACGTCGCTAGCAACACACCACCAACAACAACACTAACAACAAACAATAACAACAACAGCAACAACAACATTAACAACAATTACATCAAGACAACAGCATACACACTCCTTCCTGAAATGATTGACCTTGCAAACCTGCGGATGCCACCGCTTTATTACAACATCCTCAACTCTTCCGGCCCTTTTCAACTGTCAAAGTTTCATCAGCCACCAGCCAAGAAACAGAAATTGATGAAAAACAAACAGCTCTCTCTCACGCCTCCTCCATTGATTCCAAGCCACACCAACCACATCAGCCACGTCAACCGCAGCAGCAGCTGCAGTAGTAGCAGCAGCAACGTCCGCGCTGTTGGCATGGCCAGCAACGACAGCAACGTCGTTGAATCGCCATCTGCACTATCATCTGCCGCTGCATCATCCTTGCCAAATTATTGTTTCGACTCCAAACTGAGGTCTTCCAGTGCGAACGGCCTTGAACTTAGCTACCAATCTGTCGGCAATTCAGAATTTGTCGAAATCAATCAGCTGATTGAGGATGAGAAGAAGAATAATAGTAATAATAATAAGATAGCTTTGATGGTGGTGGGAAGAGATGGCGATAGAATAACGACGATGAATAATAACGAGTTGGTGATGAATTTCGAGTCAGCAACATCGCCCTCTAACAACAACAACAACAACAAGGAGAGTCTCAGCAACAAAATCCTACCAGCCTTGAAAAGACCAATGAAGAAGATGAGGGAGTCCAAGTTTTTAGACTCCTTGCTGCTACAAGTTCAAAGGTCAAAAGCTTCAAGTGTGCAAAACATGGAAAGCAATTTAGCTGTGGGAGGTGTCGTTAATGAGGTCACTAATAGCAAAGCGACAGTTATGAATGAGGTCAAGTTTGATGGTGATAAAGATTGTAATGATTGTATTAATGAAGATGGTGACAGACACGATGGTGGTGCAAGTAAAGGTGCTGCTGATGATTGCATCAGTTGTGATGATGAAATGTCAGCCACGCCACTCTCAACCATCACCTCATCATTATCATCACCGAAATCAACAGCTGCATCTTTAGTAGCACCAATTACGTCATCATCATCATCATCGTCGTCGTCAGCATTAACGACAACAACATTGTCAACCTCTTCCTCCTCATCATCATCATCATCATCTTTAGTATCATCATCACATTCACCGCCAACATCATCAGCTGCATCATCTTCACTTGAATGCATTAATTCTCCTTCATCATCATCTTCTTCATCAAATATCATTAAGGTTATGCCACCTTCATCCAGTTATAACGAGAGTGAAGCAGTAGTTGTTAACTCTGGTAACTCATGTACCCAGCAGTTCGACAGCTGCACTCAGCAGTTCGACAGCACTTCTAATGACGCCAGTATTATTGATAATAGTGATAATGTTAGTGATGATAAAAATAATAATAATTGTAGCCATGATAGGAGTGATGATATCGTGACGTCACAAGCAGTAGTGTGCTCTAGTGAAGTGGTTCAGTGTGCCGATGTTAATACATCAGTTTCCATTGCACATACTACTGCTGCTGCTACAGCGGCGACAACAACGTCTGATGAAGTCGCTCCAGCAGTGAACTCCTTGGCCTCTTGCACTCCAGTTGGTTTCAGCTCACTTGATATGAGTACATTCAGTTGTACTACTAATGCCGTTGTTACCGATGATTGTGTTGCGGATGTAGTTACCGCTACTGTTACAATTGCTGCAACTGCTACAACTGCTGCAACTGCTGCTTCTTGTATATCCACTGCTTGTTCTGAAAGTCTTAATTGCTCTGATAATATTACTGCAGCTGGTGCCGACGGGACTGCTGTTTTCGTCGTGGCCAGTTCAGTTGACGATGAAATTCGAAGAGGTTCTGATTCTTCATCGTCTGATATTCACGATAGGACCACATCAAAGAGCGCTGATGGCGAATGTAGTTGTAAACAAAAAATTGAAAGCAATGATGATGGTGTTGATGATGTTGATGATGTGGCTGCTGCTGCTGCTGCTGCTGGTTCTGATAGTTCTCATTGCTACGCCAACAAAACTTTCGTTTGCACGCTGATAGGAAATTTTCCAAAAAATATTGTGACTGATGCAACATTGAGCCCCGCCGTCATAAATCCTGCTCTTAATACTGACCCAACCACTGCTGCTGGCACGACTGATAAGAATATTAATGATAGTGGTGGTAATGATGATGTTCATCATGATGATTCTGGTGATGTCACTACTGCTGCTACATATAACAATAATGATTTTACATTTACTGAAGCAACAGCAGCAGTGATTCATATTGACAGTGACGACAAGATTCGAACTGCTACTACAGATTCTAATAATGTGATTCCTGTAAATGCTGCTAACACCGCCACTGCTGCTACTACTGCAGCAAAGAAAGCAGCGGCACAGAAGACAAAGACGTTTATAATAATTGAGCCAATATTTCAGACAACCCCCGACAAAACGATGAAGACCATCAAGCTGTCGACCATTGAATCAAACACCAAAGCCACCACAGTCATTACGGCTGTCTCGAGTCAGCCTGGCGGGAAACTTCCACCTCCTACTCCAACTCCATTTCCATCGTCAACGAGCGCTTCCACTGCTGATGATCCAACCTCAAGGAATTACATCAACTCAAACTGCAATGGTGATGACGACGATGACGATGGTTATCATAATCATGCTGCTGCTGCTGCTGCTGCTGCTGTTGCTGTTGCTGATGATGACGAGGAGGAGGAAGAAGATGATGAGGAGGAGGAGGGAGATGAAATAAAAGAAGTTGCCTGTGGAACTCAGAAAGATGAAAGACGATATTGAATGGAAGTAAAGAAGATTATGAAGAAGCTTGATGTGTCTGCGCATAAATTGCTTCAGGATATCAATTTATTTTGTGTACATAAATGTTAGAGTTATGTGTTTGTGTGTGTGTGTGTGTATGTGTGTGTGTGTGTGTAAATATATATTGTGTAAATATTGAATGTGCTAACATCATGTAAGGACACTTTGATATATCAGTACGCTACTCATTCGGCAACACTGTCATCAGCTTTTTATTACTTCAAGAGTTCATTCATTCATTCATTTCTTAAACGTCGTCCAACACTCTTGAGAGTTTGAAATGAAGTGCTTATTTGCTTGTTTGTTTGTTTTTTAAATTCATATGTTTTTCTAACTTATGAAACACTGATTGAATGTTTTGGTGAAATGAATATGAGGACGAACATATAAGTGTGCGCATATCAAGCCATATCCTTCTATTTATTTATGAATTCATCTATTTATTTTGTTTGTTTCTGTATATTATTTCGTCTTCGTTTTCTTATATTCTCAGTCATACACAGAGGTAAAAAAATGTTCTAAATTTATTTTATATAATTTTTTCTGTTTTATTTTTGTTTATGAAACATGTACGTATGTGTGTATGTATGTATGTATACATGTATATTTATGTATGTATGTATGTATGTATGCATGCATGTATGTATGTATATGTATCATGTTCATGTACAACCAAAATTCATTTCATTTTCATTCACTGGCATTGTTATAAATTATAATGTATGTGTATTATTGTCTGTTCATATTTCTTTATATTTATAAATATAAATACAGATTTATTTATAAATAGAATTACTTGACTGATATTACATTTGTTTGTTCTGCAAGGTGTGTGTGCGTGTGTTGGTGGTCTATCATGATATTTGGTGATGTTTGCTGTTGTAAGATAGTTTTTGCCTGAATAAGTGTTGAATATCTAATGAGGAACAGTCTATTTTTAGAACGCAGTTGTACAAATAGTTGTTGTTGTTTCAATCGTCGGAATGTTAAAATCGTTTAAAGTTTGTTGTGTCTCTGGTTTAAAATAGTGTGTATACTCAAAAGTCATTAAGATTTAAGTTCACTTTTGGGGAGCTGCTTTTCATCCTGGGTTCTGTTTCTATGTTTTTTATTTTGTTTAAAAGTTAATTTTCAAGTGTTTTAACCATGGATATTATAAATACATATAAAAATTATATGTATCCATGGTTTTAACCTTACCCACAGTTTAGATTTAATTTAAAGATTGAAATGACATTCAAATTGTCCGGGAAAAAATGAAAACTTTGAAGAAATGTGACTGGAGTTGGATGGTATTGTTTGGTTCGTTCCTGGCGTTCTTCATCGCAGACGGATGGTCGTATACTGTCGGGATGTTGTACCCACAACTCGTTTCAGAGTTCGGTGAATCGAGGGGTGTAACTTCCTACGTGATTACCTTGCTTTACGGAGTTCCTATGATTCTCAGTCCGCTGGCCTGCTCAGCCGTTCCAGTCATTGGTTGCCGGAAGTTAGGAGTTTTTGGTGGTATAGTGATGTGTCTTTCAATATTTGTAGCTTCATTTTTTAATTCTTTTTGGTCAGTTTTGTTAGCATTAGGAATCTTCACAAGCGTGGGACTGGTGGCTGTTTATGTGTCTGCATATGTGGCTGTTACTTATTGGTTTGATGAGAAAAACAGAGGACTTGCAACAGGCATTGCAGTTGCTGGGTCTGGATTGGGTTCTGTTGTATTTCCTCAATTGATTGAATGGCTGCTGACAATGTACACGTGGAGAGGAATGCTTATAATAATTGCTGGATGCTGTCTCAACGCTGCCATATCAGGATGTCTTTATCGACCGTTTCCAGTTTCAGCAGATGAAAAAAATGTCTCAAAGAAAGAAAAAGCTGAAGAAAGATATTGTTTAAAGAATTTTTCTAGCGATGCATCAGAAACAGCAGATCCAATTCCAAATGAAAGTTTTTCTCAAGTTAGTTCAATCTGCCAAGTTATCAGGGACAGTCTTCCAAATTGTGCTCTGTTGAGAAACAAAGCTTTCCTCCTATTTTGTATTGCCAACTTAATCCTTTACCTGTGGATCAGCATGCCTTATGTTTACATTTATGATCTTGCTGAGCAATCAGATGTTGATCCTAAGAAGTCTGCATGGATTTTATCTTCCATTGGACTTTCAAGAACCGTTGGTCAAATTTTAATTGGGTTATTTGGAGATAAAGTTAAAATTAGTCCAAATTTGATTTTGGGGATCTGTGTTGTCTGTGCAGGTAAGAATTGAAATTTTAATAAGAAATGTTTGTTTCATTTTTTTTTTAATTAATGCTGACATTCAATTATTCACAAATACATTGAGCATTGATGAACTGATAATATATAATTTTAATATTTTTCAATTGCAGGCATTTCAGTTTCCTTCATTACATTCTCAAAACTCTACCCTCTCCTCTTAGTTTGCTGTTGTGCATTTGGTTTCTTTTCCAGCTCAACTTACGTTCTGCCAATGATTTGCATGGGGGAAGTAATTGGGATGGATCAAGCAGTGCCTGGCTTAGGAGTTCTTCAGTTTGTTCAGGGTATTGCTACATTGTCTGGAACGCCACTTGGAGGTGTAATAGCTTTTTCAAATATTTCAATTAAACAATTATTTCAATTTTGTACTATACATCAAAATTGTTGAGACTTCCATCACTAAATTATTCATTTTCATAATCATGAAATAATCATTATTATTATTATTATATTGTCTCTAGACTAGAGACTACTATTAGCAAACTACCAGCTGAATTCACTGTATCAATGTTATAAGGCATTTTCAGTATTACTAATGATAACTATTCAGTCAGTTCAAGCTGGTAGTTTTATATTATTGCTTGCTACAAAATTTATTCTAGTTTTACATTACTATTGATGTTTAAGATGAAAGTTGTATTTTCTATTTGGAACAGGCTGGATGCATGATAGCATTGGAAATTATAATGCCATATTCTTCATATCCGGTATTTTAATTGCCTTCTCTGGATTCATAATCTCTCTAATTCCCTGGATTCTCAAGTTGACTCCAAGAAATGGTAACATTGGCAGCAATAATGATAATGTTGGCAGCGTGAATGTGCAAAAGAGAACGTGCAATTGATATGATCTTGTTTCTCTTCCACTTATTAATTTTCTTAATCAGGTTTTGAAGCATTTTTTGAGTCAGTAAAAAAACGATTTTTATTAGAGTCTTGAATCGACCGAGTATTTACCGTTATTTAGTGGCGGATTTAAAGGTGAGAGGGCCATTGCCTCCCCATTGTCAGCAGTATTTTTATTAAAAGTCAGTAATACTCGGTCTTTAGTGTCTTGAATCGACCTAACAGTTATGCATTACTGAACTCCCACTGTAGTTCGAATATTTTTTGAATACGGCGCTGGTACAATGATTCAAACCGATAGTTTTTTAATAGATTCGTGTAGTACTTCGTCTCCTGAGCATGAAAATGTACAATTTGGTAATGAAAGTCTTGGTGGTTTTTATAAAAAGTGTATTGTATCGACTTAATAGTTATGTATTTCTGAACTCGCACTATAGTTCGATTTTTTAGAATGTGGCGCTGATAATGAATATTAAGCTCGTGGTTTTAGACTAGATTTATGTAGTACATAGTCTCTTGAGCAAGAAGATGTGTAATTTCGTAATGGAAATTCTGACATATTTGATAAATAGTGTTATAAATCCACCGAACGCTTGTCAGTACGTATTATTGAGCCTAACATAACATCATAACGAAAAACTATGAGCAAGTCGAGAAGAATCGAAACGTGCACTGTAGTTCGATTATTTTTTTAGAATTTGTTTGGCACTGAATTAAGCGGGTAGTTTTTTACTAAAGTCATGTAATACATAATCTCCTAAGCATGAGAATGTATGATTTTATATCATATTGACATAACTGTAATAACATTGGCGGTCATTTCGCTAGCGATATTCCGAAACAGTTAAGCAGTATAAGTATATGAGTGAAGCATATGTATGGAATATATACATATTTAATTCTATACGTATATACGAGTGAAGAAACTGACGATAATACTTTTGATAGCTGCTCAGTCTATGCTTTAGTTTCTTTGTTCTTTTTCTTTTTCCTGTACTAAGGTTTAGTGGCGATGTTTAGCACGAGCAAAATTTTCTATACATTTCGTTGTGTATATATTTGAATTGTAAATATTAGTTTATCAGCGTTTTCAATTTGAACATTATCTGATTTTATTTTATATTTGTCGCCATTTGATACGCGTGATTGTTAATTTGAAAAAATGTCAGCTCTACATGCACTAACTTTCTATTTCTATTCTACCCGGTTCTCTAGATGCAGATCTTCGTGAAAACGTTGACGGGTAAAACCATTACCCTCGAGGTAGAACCGTCAGATAGCATTGAAAATGTCAAGTCTAAAATTCAAGACAAAGAAGGTTTCTTGCTTCCTACTTTTAATTTAAATTAATGAGTTTTTACAATTTTCTGTTTATTTCACATATTAATTAATTAATTGATTTATTCAATTTAATTTGAAAAGCCTGCAAAATTGCGCTCAGCTCATTGTTTACGTTAGAGCCTAAATAAATTGATATAAGTGGCAATTTAAATTTTATATTTATTGGTTAATCATAGTTGATGTTTAACTTTTATATAGTATTGTCATTATAAATTAAATTTGTTTTTGAAATGTTAATTCATCTGATCAATTATGAGTTGCTGTTATTGTTTTTAAAATTGTTTCAAAGGAATCCCTCCTGATCAACAAAGATTGATATTTGCTGGCAAACAGTTGGAAGATAACAGAACTTTGAGTGACTACAACATTCAAAAAGGTAATGCTTTTGAAACTACACTATATATTTTCATATATTTCTATTTGTATGCAATTCATTTTTATGAAATATTCTAAATTTTATGTTATAATTCTTAATATTCATAACCAAAATTGTCTTCAGAGTCAACATTGCACTTGGTGTTGCGTCTTAGAGGGGGTATTATTGAACCATCTTTGAGACAGCTCGCTCAGAAGTACAACTGCGATAAAATGATATGCAGAAAGTAAGCTACCTTTAACGTCATATAATCGGTGTCTATTATTCATGTATGTCTGAAAAATTGCACCTACTGAATGATTAATTAAATTATTTATTTGAATAGTATGTGTTTTTGAGTTCCCATCGTCAATATAAGTATCAGTAACATGCATATATTATTTTCAGGTGCTATGCTCGCCTCCACCCGAGGGCCACAAACTGTCGTAAAAAGAAGTGTGGCAGAACGAGCAACATCAGACCAAAGAAGAAGTTAAAGTAAACTGGGTCAATGGTTTATGCTCTCATCAACTGGAGATTTGTGCCATAAATTGTATGAATTATTGTTCTACGAACTGATTGTATCTCGTTTCGAGAGAGGGTTCGGTGATGTTCAATAAAAAGTTGACGATTGTGTTAAAAATTTTTGGTTTTTCGTTTGATTAGAGCTCGTTCGCCAAATGCGGTCATATTGGCCGTTCGTATTGCTGTCAATGAATATGCGGCGCTAAATAATTTAAATTGGTGTGTAAAGGTGAAGAGGTACCTAGTGATCATGGCATATTTATACTTGAAAATTTGTGTTAAGCGTAAATTCCGTCCGGAGTGAAGTTGAAGCGGTTGATGGTCACGAAGATTTTTTGCTTGTTTGTTTCTTCATTTCGAACATTATTATTTAATCGCCATGAAAATGCTGCTTTCTTTTCTTGTTAAGTTTTGTATATTCTCTATCATAAGCAAAGGTGAGGTTCAAATTTTTGGTTTGATTTTCTTCATTTTGAAGTTTGATTAGTAAATTTTTTCAGTCATGAGTGTTTCCTTATATTTTTAATCTTTTAATTATTATTTTTTCTATCAGTGCTCTGATAGTTTATTAATTTAATTTTGTTGGTTAAATTTTAGCTATTTTCTTTTCAATTTAAAACATAAGCTGCAACAGATAATTTCAGTAACTATAGAGTTGACAACTATCGCAATAACAACCCATATTTGAATTGTCGGAAGCCTGGACTACTAAGTTGTTTTAATGAAAAGTTGGGTAGATACGTGTGTGGAGTGCTGTGTAATGGTGTCTCAGATTGCGACCGGGATGTTGATGAAGAGGATTGTAGTTAGTGGAGAATTAAGTTTTTATTTATTTTATTCTATAAAATTTTATAATAAAAACAGAAACATTTAAATTTAACATTATATGTATAAGTGAGTTGAGACATTTAAAAATTGCTTAATATCTCATTTATAAATTATATGATGATGTTAAAAAATACTGTTTTTATGTTGAAATTTTCAATGACTAATATAAAAGAGACTGCATTTGATTTTTCAGATTGCTCCTTCCTATTCACAAACTCAAGTGGTCTCATCCCCGCACTGCACTACAACAGATTGAAGAAAAAGTGCAAATACACCATCATCCTGCCAGCCAGCAACGCCAGCTCATTGGTGCCTGATAAGAATGACTCAGTCATTTACAGCAGTAGCAATCTCAATGATGATGCTGCAGTGGAATCCATGGCCAGCAGCAACAACAACAGAAATATAATTAATATTCAAGTCAGGAAGGAGCCTGTTGTTTTATGGATGAACTTTTTGCTACCAAACTTTGAAATTGAGAGGAAGTATGACAGATCAGATTATGTTGAATTTTACAACGGCCTTAATGATAAGGATAAGTTACTTGCTCGTCATACAAAGTTATTTTCAACTATGCTCCATTTTCTTTCAACAAATTTAATTTGTTTTATACTAATTAAATTTCTATTAAATATGATTTAATTGGTAATTATGGATAAAGAAATATTAATTTGGTTACAATGATAGCAATGCAATCAATTGTCTCACGTTATAATGGACACTCAAAATTTGTCTGCCCAGGCAATCTCTGATGGAGATGGCACTGGCCAGAGATAATATGATCAGGATGGAGTCTCAGTCGAACGTCATGACAGTCATCATTTACAAGGAAACTTACATGACCTGGCCATTGTTTGAAGCCATCTACCAGCAAAAAGGTACAGCTCATCTCATTAGCAGAGGATTTGAACCAATCATGTGCCAGCATTCATTTTTAAGCTGATCATGTGCAAATATTTTATCTGTCTGATTTTATTATTTGTTTTTTGAAAATATTAATTAAAATTTGAAGTATTTGTGGAAAATGTCTAATGATTGTGCATTGGATTATCTCTTGCCAAGTTGCTCTTTACCTATGATGTGTTAAATGTTATTTTAATGCTGGTTCTTTTATTTTCAATTGTTGAGTTTCTCTAGAGTTTTTTATTAGGTAGATGTTTTTTTGAAATGTTGGTTTAATTATAGATGAAAAAATATATTCATTATACAGCTAATTGTATATAGCTCCTTAATGCTTACTTCAACTGAATCATATGCTGAATGTCACATGCGCCAATCCCGGTCGTCATGAGATTTTATTTATTCTGTTCATCCAATCATCTGACAGATTTAATCAGCTATCTCATTTGTAAATGTAGGAGCAATGAAATAACTAGCCAATGAAATTTGATGTACCACATAGGTGTCTGCCTTGCTAATCAATTAAAATGCTTGCATGAGAACGATTGCTACTTTGGATCGATGAGATGTGATGGAGTTTGGGACTGTAGGCTAGATGGATCAGACGAACAATTCTGCGGTTGGTTTTTATATCCTTGCTTTTTCATTCAATTTCTTATTATTTACTGCTTTCTTACCTCTAAATCTTTTTCTCACCTCGTCTATCTTACTTCTTCATTTGTATTGACTCATTTCTTCATCTGCTGTTTGAATATTGGAATTTGAAACCGATCAATCACAAACTTGCAGACAACTGTGGCTCTTCCTACTCCTGCCACGACAGCACATTCACCTGCTACGATAGGCTGGATAGATGCAATGGTCATCCTAAGTGCTCCAATGAGGCGGATGAAAAATTTTGTGGTCAGTTGTGGTCCATCGAATCATGGGTGGACTGATGAATGAAGGGTTGATTCATAACATATTTTGTGAAGTTTTTTTTATACGAGTATATAGAAATACATTAATGATGGTAACATTTGCAGAGAAGTCAGTATGCAACAAGGCGAATGGAACGTTTCTGTGTATGAATAAGAAGTGCATCCGATACGATTGGGTCTGCGATGGCGTCGACGATTGCAAGGATGCTTCGGATGAAGTTTCTTGTCCGCGTAAGTTCTTCCATTTCAATGCTCATCAGCATCACTCTTCATTGATTTACATTCACTTCAACCATCTACTGTCACTCATCATGATGTTCTCAACCTACCAGTGGCCCTCGTTGAATCAAATCATGTGGCCTTGGTGGGGTCGCTGGGGACGATGTGCGGTCTCATCGTACTCATCAGCCTCATCATGTGCTCACTCAGGGCCTATGCCCTCAAGAAACTTCGAGAAAGGAGATCGTCGAACCGGAGAATTGTAATTGAAGGTTTCTAAATTTTTTAAATTGTTTGTTGTTGGGTGGAGTTACCTTTCGTTGGTCTTGTGTGATGTTGGTTGCTCTGTTTGTTGTGAGAGTTAGTGTAGATACCATTTTATTTCTTTGTTATTCTATCTTTCATTGGCCCATTCAAACGAGGGTCAATTGATTTCATTATAAATGTGAACCCCACAAACAACATCAACAGCAGCTGTGACCGCAGATATGACATCAAGCAGGCAGAGTCTCCTAGAAGCAGAACAAAATGATGGTGGTGATGATGATCAAGATTTCAACCAACAACAATCATCATCATCATCGTTATTACAGCCGACATCACAATCATCACCTAATAACGCTGATGATGATGATGATCGCTTGGAATGGTGGGAAGTTTTTCTGGGAATGAATAGATGTCGAAGAATTCTTCGCCATCGTCAACATCATCCTAGCTCTGATCGTCTCAACTGTAACTTTAATCGTCCTAATCATCGTCAGCAGGCCACTCACATCACTCCCATCACTGAAATTCAGAATGAAATATTCGCCAGGCTGTCGGCTCCTCCCCCGTACCAAGTCGCCATGGCAACGTCGAGATCGTACGACGAAGTGATGAGGGAGAAGATGATGACGGAGAGGAAGAAGATGAGGAGGAGAGAGAGGATGAGGCGGAAGAGGATGATGATTATGATGACGAGGAGGAGTGATCACGGAAAAATCTCAGATGCTGTCAGCACAGAAGTGGCCGGTGTTGATTGCGGTGTTGTCACGATGCAAGGAGACGGCAGTACCTTCAACGGTAGCACGATGAACGAAAGAGCTAACATGAAAAACCAAAGCAATACGCATGGCGAGAACGCTGACAGCAACATCTACCATGACATCACGCATATCCTTAATGACGGTGACGAGGACGACGATGACGTCACCTTGATTGACATGACGGCATCTAGTGGTGCACCATCTACTTCATCCCGGCAACCATTCAGTCGCTGGTTCCAACGCAGGGGAGGCATAACGATTTCCAACGCCGTCCCTTCTAATGACGATAATTCACTGAACGATGGTCATGGGCGGGATGTTAATTGTGTGGCGAGCAGCAGAGCTCCTTCTGGCAGCAGCTTCATGAACCATCTAGATGACAGTTGTTATAATGTTGAAGATGAGGATGATGACTACGACGATGATGATGACGATTCATTGCTGGATGTCCAACTGTCTCCATTGTTTTCTGAGAGGCCCTCTATTCACAGAATCTGCTTGAATCGTAGCACTGCTACTTCTGCTACCATTATGAATGATGGTAATGTGGTCGGCGATGGTCATGGTGATGATGATGTTTCCCTGATATGCATTCCTACAGATCCACCGCCCTCGTTTGACAGCATCTTTCCTGGCTTGTCTCGCGACAACCTGCCTCGCGACAACTTGCCTCGCAACGACAACTACAACATCCCGCTGTCCCCCCACGACAGTGACAGTCGCCATGAGAATCCTAGCTGCAGCGGTGGTAGTGGTGGTCTCAGCAGTTGTAGTAACAGTGACATCAGCTGCACTGCTAACAATATCTCGAACGTTGTTGCTGGTGGTGATGATGAAGAGGAGGGGGAGGGGGTTAATGAAGTTCTACAATTGGTAAGACAATCAGCAGCCAGCATTTTGAATCGTGGACTGCCTGATCGATCAGGAATTAATAGAAGTCCGCCACCCACTTTCGAGCAAGCCATGCTAGAAAAGATGAATGATTTTCGGCGATGAAATTTTAAATTATTAGTTCTTAATTAGTGTTGATGAACTGGAATACAATCTTAATGAATTGGAACGAAAGTGATTAATATTGTTAACGATCGCTTTACTCAAATAATCAGCAAAAAATTTAAGGAAAATGTTTGATTTAACATGTTTGTCACAAACTTAATGATTCTCGTCTAGCATTGTTTTTGTTTTTTGTAAATATGAGTCATTTGTTTCTATTATGCATATTTTGTCTGTCAATTATGAGTGATATTTTAACTGTTGTTATGATAATGCTGATGCAATTATGAAGGATGAACCCTCGTCTTATCCACTACGCTTGCAATGTTTTCTCGTAGGATTCTATCTTTCTTTTTACGTTAATTATCATTGATTCGTTGTGCAATTTAATTATTTTATATTTTAAATTATGTATTTTAAAATTATTCTTGTTAATTTGAATTCAAAAAGTGCGTTTTGTCCGGTGAAGGGCGATGGCTTGCAGGAGCTATAGGTCGGTTTACTGGGATTGAACTATAGAACCTATGCAATTTCATAAGTAAGCCAAAATCTAATCTGTCAAATAGCCAGATCCGGTTGAATCTGAGTTATAAGTGATAATAAATTGGTGACTAATTTTGGTTTGATTCCTAAATTTTATCCTTTTGTCGCTAATTGGTAAATTATTTCAATTTTTTATTATGTTTTCTAGTGGTCCAAAATATCAAAAGTTGACAACTTACTTGAGATTAGCTATCAATAGACTGAAACTTTTAGAAAAGAAGAAGTCGGAACTGGCCGTCAAAGCCAGGCGAGAAATAGCTGACTACATAACAAATGGCAAGGAAGACAGGGCGAGAATTAGGGTGGAGCACATAATTCGGGAAGATTATCTCGTGGAGGCCATGGAAATCGTAGAAATGTACTGTGATTTGTTGATAGCAAGAATGGGAGTCCTCCAAACATCCAAGTACTGTTCTTTATTAAATGTGAATTTGTTTGTGAATTTGAATTTGTTATTTATATTAATTGTGAATTTATTTCACAAATTATTAAAATTAAAACAATATCTAATGTTTTTATTTTAGTACAATAATGTAATGTTTATGAGACTTTTTTAAAAAATTTGTAGAAGCATGGATGAGGGCTTGGAGGAACCAATAGCCAGCATTCTCTGGTCAACTCCTCGACTGCAAAGTGACGTGAGCGAGTTGTCAGTTATCTCTGATCAGTTGGCATTGAAATATGGCAAGGAATATGTTGCCAGCTGTCGGAAGAACAGTTTGAATAATGTTAATGAAAAGTTAATTCATAAACTCAACATTCATGCTCCTCCAAAAGTTTTGGTGGAGAAATACATGGAGGAGATTGCCAGGTTGTCTATTTTTTCGTTTCTACTTTGTTGACTTCAAAATTGCTGAAATCTTTCTTAAAATATAACTGAATTAAAATTTAAAATGATCAATGCATGTTTTGTAAGCAACTTTTCATTCAACACAATCAAAAGTTTTGTATTTATACCATTGTTAATGGGAAAATTACTGGTGTGTAATTGACAGATCATTCAACATACCTTATGCATCACCCATCGATCCTGAATGCCAAGCTGCTGACCTCATCTTCAACAAACTCGATGCGATCCTGAAGAACGATGTCGAGGATGATGACAAGAAGACAAAGAAAGGAGGCGGAGGAGGAAATGGAGGAGGAGGAGGCTGTGGTGGCATTCAGTTTCCACCCAACTCTGAAGCCACAGATGTTCACAATGGCTTCTGCAACCACCACAACAACTATCAACCATTTCAATATCCACCACCACAGGTTTTTGTGACAGTTCTTCTCGTTTCTTTTCATAAAATCACCATGCATTAGTTGTTTTGTAGGTTTTTATAAAATTTATTGAATAATTTTTCATTATTTTTTTTTATTTCTAATCTGCTGTTCTCTTTTTAATCTGTTGTGCAATCGCTTTCTGTGATTAAGTTTTGATTGATTTTCAAATGTTATTTTTTATGCAGAATCTTTCCCAAGCACCTGCAGTCCTGCCTTATCCAATCAGCAACAATCCACCCTATCCCATTAGCAGCAATCCGCTTTATCCCATTCCCCAAGCAGTAGCAAGCACATCTCCACTTGGGGACCACCTGCCTAACTTACCTCAAGTTCCTAACTGCACCATCAAACCAGTGGTTGATGCTAAGAATGATGTAAATTTTGATGATTTGACCAAAAGATTTGAAGCTCTGACGAAGAAGAAATGAATTCATGGAACTTCCTGGATGTTATTTCATTCAAATGTCTCCCTGTCCAACTTCATTTTCAATGTTTTTTATATTTTGTAATTCTTTAGCTTATTGTATAAATAGTATGCAAACATTACAGACTGAAAAGCTCACCATTTTGTGTGATGCTCTTTTTTCAAGAATCTTTCTAAATTTAGAGTTCTGACTGAATTATTTTTCTTAAATGTTTCATCTTCTCCACAGGTCTTAATCGGGTTGAAACTGTGGACGGTAATTAATAATTTTAATTTGTATTGAAATGTTTTTAATCATAATTGTATTATTTAATCATAATTGTATTATAAATTTGGATTCAAATGATTTAAAATTATTAATCTATTTATTATTTTTTATTTTAACTTGAAACCTTTTATTTCACTTCAGTATTCACGTGATCTTGGTAATTTTAATGGTTTTAAAAACTTACCATAATAATAATTAAATTAATAATAACAAAAGTGATAATAAAAATGTTAGTAACTACAGTATAGCAATAATACTTAACGAGTTCGTTTGCATACACCTACTTGCGTTATATCTTCGTTTATCTCATGCTTTTAACATTTTTCCGATCAAATTTCTTTTTTTCGAACATAAAAACTTTTTAATGGGACTTTAATGACAACAATAACAGTTTCCAGATAAGTTCCTCTACCCTCCCAAAGTTTCCATAGTCGGTGATTTTTGTTACATATCATGATTTTGCTTTCAAATGAAACGAACTATCCATGATTAACTTAATCAAATTAAAATAAATCAACGACGAGGATTTTACTACTGGATCCCATTATTGTTTAACTTGCCGGTTGATAAAATGCTGTAAAATCTAAAAAACGTAATTAAGAAATATCGTTTAAATTACTAATAAATACAATCTTGAGGGGTGAAAATGATGGTGGAAACCATTTTAGCCCTAATTTCAACTTCCAGGGTAAAGGTTGGAGTTCAATTTCGATGAAACTTATTTCAAATACAATTTTTTTTTCTTTTGAATGGGCGACAGTGTAATTGTGTAATAAATACTGTAAAATGATGATGGAAACCATTTTGATGAAACCATTTTAGCCCTAATTTCAAATCCCGGGTTAAGGGTTGGGGTTCGGTTTGGATGAAACTTATTTTAAATCCAAATTTCTTTACTTTTGAATGAGCGACAGAGAAATTGTAAAATAAATATTGTAAAATGAGGATGGAAACCATTTTAATGAAACTTTTTTAGTCCTAATTTCAAATCCCAGGTTAAGGGTTGGGGTTCGGATGATACTTATTTCAAATCCAAATTTCTTTACTTTTGAATGGGCGACAGTGAAATTGTAAAATAAATATTGTAAAATGATGATGGAAACCATTTTAATGAAACTTTTTTAGCCCTAATTTCAAATCACAGGTTAAGGATTGGGGTTGGGGCTGGGGTTCGGATGAAACTTATTTCAAATCCAACTTTCTTTACTTTTGAATAGTGAAATTGTAAAATATCGTTCATTCCATAGAGGGCGATGGAAACAAATAATTACCGTGAAATTGAAAAAATTTTGCACATGAAAAATTCATTGTTCAATTTTTCGATTTTCTAGATCCTCTGAAATTTGACCGATTCCAACTCTGAAACCACTAAAATGTTCGTCTTGTCATTTCCCGCTTCTTTGTTAAAGCTTTCTTGCCAAAAATCAACCATTTTTCATTCGGACCAGTAGTTTTAGAGAAATTCCGCCTCAAAGGTTCCAAGGACCGACACTGACTTCCCCACTGATTTTCAAGGGTTTCTTTCATTTTTCCACCAGTTTTTTCAGGTTGCTGATCCGTGTCGAGGTCCACATTGTTTGGGGAACTAATAAAAACAATGGTGATGCTGAAACTGCTGATGATCATGGTGATGAAGTTGGTGATAACAACAACTGAGACTTAAACAGAACAGACTGACTCGTTTTGACACGTAAGTTGTTTTTTAATGTTTAATATACTAGAAAAAATTATTTTGAATAAGAAAAAATAATTTTTTAAATTGCCGATGTAATTATCTACAATTAAACCTCTGTTTAATTAAGCACTACGACATTAAATGCGCAGAATGTAAACAATAGCAGCTGTTGCTAATTTCACTAATTATTAATTTAAAATCAGTTTCGGAATAAATTTAATTTAATATTCCATTTTGTTATTTTTTTTACATTTGAATCTGGTTTTATAATCTTCAAATTCATTGAAATAAATGGCAAAATTGACTGTAAATTTTTTCAAATTTTGGGTTTTTTTGTTTACAGTTTGTCAAAAATGTTTTAGCGCTACATTTTCAAAAAAAAACTATACTCCGGTTCACACACATTTTAAAATAAAATCTAGACATGCTATTTCTTAGTTTTTTCATAATGTAAATCTACCGTTTAATCTCCCTGTCCTATGGTGTACAATAAAACAGATAAATGTATAACCATCATTAAAATTGTTTTGTCTGTTAAAATAAAACGGATCTGTAGTTTTAAAAGCAACATAAAATCATGTTAATATACAACAGACAAATGAAAATGATGTTAAATAACGTCTAAACTACGATTGGTCGTAAAAAATGTGAAAAATTTTGAATCAACTTGTACAACTTGATCGTGCAATTTTTTGTTTCGTTATCATCAGCACCACCATCAATCTTCATAATGTTTCAAAATTTTCTTGAAGGAGAATGGAGTGAACTTCGTTCCTTCACCTTTGTAGAATTTGCTCTGGAACTCCACCCTTGTGAGAAATTTTCATAAAAATTTAATTTCTGCTGTAAAAATTATTCATTAAGCTTTTATTTTTAAATGTAACAAAATTGAAAAATGTCAAAATTGATAATTGTTGATCAGTCTAAGTACAACAACTATTTTTCTAGCAACAAACCAACCAACTAACTAGCCAGCCAACCAACCAATGCAAGCGGAGAGTATGCAGAAAAGCAGAAAGACCTTCCATAAGAAGAAGGATGGCGACGGTGAGGGCAGCCCATGGAGTCCAGATGATGAAGAGGATGATGCAACTCAATGATGGGCTGTTTGTGGAACCGGCTCCTAACGTGAATCCATTGTGCAGGACCATCTTCCACAAAACTTCCGACAGTTCTGTATTTATTTTTTTCTAATTATCTCGACGAAGGTGCAGATTAAAGTAACTGAAGAGTGCCGGAAATTGAACCTGCATGAGCAAGACTGAGAGCCCAGAGCCTGAGGTAAGAGGCGGTGTGCGAGATGCAGCCGAGGCAGTATTCAATCGTGTGGATGCATTGGTGAATGAACACGTCGCCGAAGCTGAACTGCGTGTCAGGGTGACGTTCGAAGAGGAGATATGAACTTTTAATTCGTCGCCACACCACCGTCATACTTACTTGTCGGCATTTTTATTGAAAAATAAACTTTGTCCAACTTTTTCGTTATCTTTTGTTTTCAACAAACATTCAACTAACTTCTTCTCCATGTCCTGCTGCTGCCAATGCCGATGGTTCATTAGGTTGATCGTGTTTCGCTGACGGAACCTTATTGTGATTGATATCCTCTGCCAACTGGTGAACAACAAATCAACCAGTTAAATATCAATAACTGTGTATGTGTGTGTGTGTGTGCGTGACTCGCCTCCATTCCCATGTTTGTTTCTCCTTGTTCGATGTCCTCCAAAGGTTTCTTCAACTGATTAAAAGAAAATTTTTTTTCAATATCGTTCTATCACCATCTCCATCACCATCATCATCATCATCTCTACCTTCATCATCATCATCATCCTCTTCTTGTTTTTGTAACGAAGTATGAGTGGCTTTGGTAGGAGGAGCCAGGGGATGCAGAGGGCGACGATCAGCAGCAGAGCCGTCTGGAAATCTTTCTGTCGTCAGGTCATGATGAAGAGGATGATGATGGTGAGGATGATGGTGAAGATGATGGTGAAGACGACGATGATGATGATGGTGAAGACGATGGTGAAGATGATGTTGGTAAAGACGACGATGAAGTACTTGTTTGGGGTAAAAGTTGGTAGGGCTGCAGGGCTCGTCGGAATAATTGTAGAGGAACATACTGATCAAATCTAAAATTCGGTGAAAGAATATGGTCATTATTTCTCATCCATCCATACATTCATTCATTCACGCATTCATTCATTCATTCCTCGTCATGATGACAGTCGCGTTGACTGACTGATGAGTAAGCTGGGCGAGCAACTGGCCATGGTAGCGTCGAAGGCGATCCACTTGTAGAAGATGAGGAGGACCAGGTAGCCGAACATGCACATGAGGAACAACATCTCAGGTAGGAACTCGCAGAAGATGTTCAGTGGGTCCCTGAAGTGTCTGGGGTTGATGACGACAACGATGATGATGATGAAGAGGTTGTTGTTGGTGGTGGTGGGTGGAGATGATGATGATGATGATGAGGACGGTAATACAAACCGGTGGTTGAAGAAACTGAGTAGGACACCGAAGAACATCTGAAAGACTCCAAAGATTATTGAGACCTTCATCTTGAAGGAATTCAACCAAGTTATCTTATTCTGGGACATCATCCAAATCTGTTGGGTTGTTGCACGTTGTGTTTGTTACATGCTTGTTAATGATAGAATCATCATCGTTATTGACATCAACAACAACATCAACAACAACATCAACAACAACATCAACAACATCAACAACAACATCAGCAGCAACGTCTCACAGGATCCATGCCGAAAGGGAATGGGAACCCTCTGTAATCTGAAACGTTGTCGTGAAGAGGATTCAACATGATGTCCTTGTTCGTGTGCAGGTGTCTGTGAGCATGTTTGTGTTGGTCTGTGTCTCTGTCTGTTTGTGTTGGTCTGTTTGTCTGTCTGTATGCTTGTCTGTCCGTAGTATCAACTCCACTGCCCTCAACTTCATCATCACCATCAATGTTATCATCACTGTTACAATCACGGCAGGCAGACAGGCAGGCAGCAGAAGTTTCAACATCTCCACTCCCATTCCCACTAACTGTTGGTACTTGCTCGGCGAGGCGTACCATGCAGATCCGAAAATGTTGATGGGCTTGGCGAAGACGTCGTTGTACATGATGCCGGAGTACACCGAGAAGATGCCCATCAACAGTATGATGTACCGACCGCCGAAGAAGATGTTCCATATCTGTTTCAGTCAGTGCGCGTATGTTTATGTGCGTTTGTTTGTTTGTGTGTGCATGTATGTGTGCGTGTGTGTGTGTACCTCGTTATCAGAGTTCTGCCCCATGAACTTGCTTTCAGAGAGGACCATCCAGAGTGCAATGAGGAAGACCAACATTCCGTGGCCCGCATCTCCGAACATCAGCGAGAAGAGAAAGGGGAAGGTGATGATAATGAACGGCGCTGACATGTTTGTTTGAATGTTGTTTGTATGATGTTTGTTTGTATGTTGTTTGTTTGTATGTTTTTTGTATGTCGTTTGTTTGTATGTTTTTTGTATGGTGTTTGTGCTATGCAAAAGTATGTACGATATGTAGCGTGTGTGCGCGCAATGTTAGAAGCAGTTGAAGGGGTCTGACCGGGGTTGATCTCTTCATAGGAGGCAATTCCGTACGAGTTGACGATGCTCTGGTAGACTTTTGTGAACCTGTTGGTTATGTTGTAGGTGGGCGGTACCTCCCTGCTCTGGTCGATGCTGTTCAAGATGGCGCCTGATGGGCCGACACCATACGTGTCCTATTGATGTGACGGTGTTGAGTTGATGTGATGGAGTTGATGTGTAATGACGAAAATAACGAAACGAGACAAGAAGGTGGGAACTTACAGCAGCCCGTTTGAGAGCCATCTTGATGCCGTCCATGCAGGCATTGGGGCACCAGCATTGACCGACCAGGTACTTCTGTGCCATCTCCATGCTCAGCGTGTTCAGCGTGTGGAAGATGCACTTCATCTGATCATCATCATCATTCATCGAACATTCATCTGATCATCATCATTCATCGAACATTCATTTATTTATTTATTCATTTATTTATTTATGTATTTAATTTAATTATTTAAAAGATGTCGATGAATTTTTACTTTCTAACTTTTCTTATTTGAACGATCCAGACGGCTAATTTTTTTGCAACCTCCTCCAGCTGCTGGTGCCGGTACGACGTCGTCTGCTCAATTACCTGTTATTCATTCATTCACTCATTCATTCACACTTCCATCCATCCATCTATCGAACGAACGAACGAACATACAGCGTTAAGATCGCCAATCTTGCCTTCGACATCAGCACGCAGCCTCTCAGCGTCCATCAGGCTATCAGGGCATTGGTAGACGTTCGCATGGTAACTGCGCCAATCAATCAAACAATTAGCTAATTAATTAGTTAATTAATTAATTAGCTAATTAAATGTAATATTTTCAATTAAAGTTACAACAAATGATCATTCTAACTGACCCTTCCATAATTTTTTTAACTCTCTCCTTCAGTCGATCACCTTGAAAGAATACGAAGACCACCGCCTTGCATACCAATGCGTTCTGCTCATCGATTGGTTGGTTGGTTAATGGAGTGAATAAATGAATGAACAAGAAAGTGAGAAGACATCCTCAAAACCAGCAAACAACGAACGAACGGTGTTTGGATCTTCGATGTTCTCCTCAAGGACGGCACTCCTGACGAGAACATTCCCCCTGCAGGCGAACCACAGCAACCTCTCCATCGACATCAACTTGTCGTTCAAGATCACCGCAGACGCAAAACTGTGTGCGTGTGTGAGTTTGTGCGTGTGAGTGTGTGTGATTGAGTTTACAACGAACAAACAAACAAACTGCGACTAACCCGAGGTTTCCTGACTCTCGTTGATCGGGTGCATCGGCGGCCATGACTTGCAAGGTTTGCTGCTGAAGTGTTGGCTGGTTGGTGGGCGATGATTCATGCGGAAAACAATCAACCAACCAACTAATCAATCAACCAACCAACCAACCAATGAATGAATTAACCAATCAATCAACCAATCAGCCATCAACGAACCTCCTGAAAGACGATGTGAGCCTTCATGAGAAGCTGTTGCATTTCAATCAGTTGGGCCCTGTTCGACTTCATGGACGTCAGACTCGCACTGACCTCTCTCAAACGACGCTCAGACTCCTTGAATACGCTCTGCGATGATTCGTCAGGTTGGAAGAAGATATTCATATATTCATATTCACATTGTTAGGAGATATTCAAAAATTGACTCATTGGATTTCTGTGCTCACTTCTTCTAACGAGTCAACCAGCCAACCGACCAACCAACCAACCAACCTCCATTTCAGCCATCTTTGAGATCTCCGGAGCGTCAGGATTGATGTTGATGCTTCCCATTTGAATGCCCTCCTCTGCCAGCATGCTCCTGAAGTACCCTGCAAACGTATGCACATTCTAATTCACCATCACCATCATAATCACCACGATGAACATCATCACCACAATGAACATCATCTTCATCCTTGCAAACATTTCAGGAGGACTCACTCAGCTGCCTCTCCATCTCGTCGCACCTCTTGACTTCCATGCTGTATTTCTTGCTGTGCGCCATCAGGCCCGCATTCATCTGTTCAGGTTGTTAGTGATGGAAAAAAATGATGATGATGATGACTACGACGACGACGATGACAACAAGTAAGACGCCACCAAAATAATGACGTCAACAAACAAGCGAAAAAACAGCACATCCCTGGCACTTACGTCATCAAACTGAACGACTCCAAGTTCTCCCAATGCGGACATGCAGGCGTAGGCTACGTCGTTTTGAACGTACAACATGCATTTCGACATCGGCTCGCTCCTGTATAGAGAACCCATCTCTCTTTCTCTCTCTCTTTCTCTATCTATCTATCTATCTATCTATCTATCTATCTATCTATCTATCTATCTATCTATCTATCTATCTATCTATCTATCTATCTATCTATGCTGTCCTAATGAATGCCGTTAGTGCTGTTGATGTGATGTCGTTACGTCTTCACTGCCAACCAACCAACCAACTGTTCGATTCAACGATAACATGTTACATTACAGAAACCAATAACATTAATGATTACATTAATATGAATGTGCAAACAATTTACAAACAACTAACATGAAATCATCGAGACAAAAGAACCACCACCACCACCACCAACAACGGCATTAAAAAACAAACCAACATATGCAAATAACAAAAGATAGCAAGCTTACCTAAGCACCATTTCTCACTACAACATAGACACGTCTGTCTCAATACAATACAGTCTCATAATAAGTACATATAAATACAAAAACAATATACATACATACAAACAAGCATACATACATACATACAAAATGCATACATACAAACATACATACAAACATACACATATGTGTACGGATCTCACCTTGAAATTTAGTAAAGCAAATAATCAGCACGTGTTCAAACTTCTTTAATTTAAAACAAATCAACTAATAACATTATTCATACACGTGTCTTGGACTTCAATTGACTTTCAACATCTTAACGTTTACTTTATATAGGGCCATATGCAGGAATATTGTGTATATATATATATATATATATAATATATATATAATAATATAAATATATATATTTACACACGCATGCACATGTACACACTACACTAACATGTAGGTAGGAGACAAATAACAGGGGAGTCGCCACAGGCATTTCTGTACAGCATATTATTACTAAGAGCCTTACGTACACACCAACAGTTAATTAACTTAATAAATTATACGTAGACATATAAATACAAACAAACACATACACACACACACTCATATATATATATATATCATCGTACGAAGCATATATGTATATATATATATATATATATATATATATATTATATATGTACATATATAATATATATATATATGTATATAAAGATAGGTAGGTGTTCATTGAATCGTGCTGTGCAAACTGACTGAGACCTGCTTGGACTTACTCAGTCAGGATTAGGCAGCACAAGCACATTTTTAATGATATTATGAATAGTAATAATAAGATATATATATATATATATACATATATAAATAAAAAATAAAATAAATATATAAATATATAAATATATATGCTTCTACTGTTTCGACTGTCCCCACCACCACCACCACCACCACTACCACCACTGCATTACTTATCAAATACAACTGCAATACACAGTAACGAAATTTTATTAAATTGAAATATTTGCTTGATAATGGCAGTAATAATAATAATAATATTGAATGAATGAATGACTGAATGAACGAATGGGGTGACGAGCAATTAAATAAAACAAATGAATTAAATGAAATTGTTGCAAAATCACTATTTAGGAGCATTATTAATTTTATTAAATAATAATACAGTAATAATAATACATAGATATCATGTGACTCATCATTCTTTCACCCACTCACTCACTCACTCACTCACTCAAAAGTGGAACATTGGAGCATCGTGCCATTCCATTCAAAACCTCACCTAACCTATGACATGAATGATCTGCACTGCACTGTGCTGTGTTGTGATGTGTTGTGTGCCGCTGTACCAACCACACGATGACCAGTTTGACACTCTTACACGTACAAAATTATGGTATGAACGAACGAACGAACGAATGAACGAACGAACGAATGTGGACGAATAAACGAACGAAAGAATGCAGAATTTTTAAATCTTCAATAAGATCATGCTGTATATATATATATATATATATGTCTATATAAATATATATAGATATATATATATTTATATATATATATATATATAGAGAGAGAGAGAGAGTGAGAGAAAGATTCATATATATATATATATATATATATATATATATATATATATATATATATATATATATCGGTCGATCAGTTGACTGGTGTGAATGAGGTTTTGTAAAATGAATTTTTTCTACAAATGGAAAGATGATTTTGAGGTGGAAGAAAAAAAAAGAAGTGCTCGCTTTCAATAAATAAATTCATTTGCTTTGGACAATGATTGAATTTTTAAACAACAATAACAATAATAATAATAACTATAATTTTTATAATGATTATTAGTGTTATAATTATTGTCAAATAAGGGTCATGAAATATTCTAAATAAAATTTTTGTGATTAAAACGAGTAAAAAATGAGAAAACGAGTTAACGAATAAATGAATGGATGAATGTATGTATGGATGAATGAATGGATGAATGAATGTATGTATGGATGAACAGATGTAGTTGATGAATTGAAAAAGTTGTCATGTGAGATGATTTGGTCCCAACTCTTGGAAGATTGCATTCGTTTCAATCTCATCAAACTCAACGTAACGTCATCATCAATCGATTAATTAATTAACATAAATTAATTAATTAACCAATTATTTAACATAAATTAATTAACCAATTATTTAACATAAATTAATTAATCGTAATTAATTATAATAATAAAACATAAATAAATTCATGACGGTCTTCGTCAATTTCAATCGTCAAATTCATCTTGACTGAAACAAACTCCATGCAGACCTGTTAAATTAACATTAAAAAAATAAACCAGATGAAAATAAATCTTGAATCAATCGATGAATCAGCCAGCCAACCAAACAACATCTAATCAACGAATCAATGAATCAGCCAGCCAACTAAACAACATCTAAATAATATTGCATCTGGAATTGGGATTACAGAAGAATGGATTGGATAGAAATATTATGTAGGAAAGGAATTCAGAGAAAAATTAAAAATCAGAAATTATGATCTTAACGATAAATCAACCAGCCAACCAATCGAACAATCAAACGAATAATCTTCTAAATAAATTCCAATAATCGTAATTTTTTACAAGATAAACTTTAAAAAATTTAAAAAGAAAACATCGACTGTCAGTGTGTACATCCACCTCTCACCATCTTCTCTCTCTCTCTCTCTCTACCTACCTACCTACCTACCCCTCCCTTTCTTTTCCTTCTCTCCAGCCTGGCCTGATAAAGCAGCAGGCAAGCAAGCATCTTACCTCGTTTGCTTACATATGACCCGTTACGAATTTAAGCACTAGCAAGAACCAAATTTGTAATAATAATATAAATATTAATAGTTTCGCAGATATATTCAAGTATGTAATGGCATTTTGACTTAGAACACACGCACGCACGCACGCAAAGACGGACACGTGCAAACAGACAAAGAAAGAAACGAACAAACACAGAAAGAGGTCCACGTGAGTTCAAACACTCGCACCCACCAAACTACAATACTTATGCCATAGTAAAAAAAATTTTTTTTTCATACATTATCATCTATGGATTATAATCTTAACAAAAAAATTATCATATCACACGCACACACATATATACACACACACACACATATGTAACAAGGCATAAGAAAATAAAATTATAGATAGAACAAAAGAATGGATGAATGAATGAAGAAATGATAAAATGGGTGGATCCCTTGGAAGGAATGAGTGCTTGGAATGAGTGGGTGAATGCATGAATTATTATCATAACTATAACCTAAATTATCATTCTTCATTAACATTTATATATTAATTACAACAAAGAATCATTCAACTATCTGACTATATTTAAACGACTTTTGTATTTATGTGAAATCACGGTGATCGTAATAATGATTGCGGAATGATACAATACATATGTATATATATGTATGTATATTATATGTGTATGTTATTTATAGATCAAGGAAGATTATTTTATTATTCTAGCTCGGAATATTTGAAGACCTAATTCGAGTTTAGTAGCATTACCATCCATCTTATAATTTACCACCACAACCTTCACGATAACAACAACAATAATAATATTAATAATATTAATAATAATAATGATGATGATGATGATAGCAATAATGGTGATGATAAGATGACCCAATGAGTAATTCCTCTAAATTAACATCTGCCTGAATTATTATTTATCGAAACAAATAATTAAAACCTAACCAATCATTCATTCACTCACTCAACCAATCATTCATTCATTAGTTCCTTTTTTGTTCAATCAATCATTCATTCATTCATTCCATCCATCGCTCAGTTAATGGACTATTTATAGATCATCAGACGAATGAATGACTGGACCAATCATTTGTTGATGTACTGGATGGCTGGTTGCGATTGGTAGAGCACGTTGGGCTCGCATGAATCCTCGATTGTGATTGGTTGGAGGTGAGGAGGAGCCGACGAATAAGCGATCTGCATGTAGGCTGCATTCGTTTGCACGGGCGGAAAAAACTGAGAAATGATGATGATGAAGATGGTTGTGGTGATGATGGTGGTGAAGATGGTGATGAATGGTGGAGGAGGAGTAATTGAACATTCAACTGAACGCAAACAGATGATGAACATCAGGACAAAAAACAAGCAACAAAACAGACAGACAAGCAGGCAAACAGCGAAACGACAGACAAACAAACAAACACACACACACAGACGAGAAAAACATGCAAGCCTGGAAAGAGAGAGAGAAAGAGAGAGCCGACACTAACACAGAGAGCAGGTGGAGCGGTAGGAACAGGAAGAGAAGGAGCAGGAAGATGATGAGTGGGAGGAGCTATCTGCAGCTGGCCAATGTGAGTGGCAAGTTGTGGTGGGAAGATGGGGGCATCGAGTGCAGAGCCTGTCGCGGCTGCCGTTGCTGCCTGGAAGCCGCTTGGTAGCATCTGTCGGGTTAGTACGTGCATGAGTTGATGGATGGATGGATGGATGGATGGACTGTGTTTGGTGGTCAGTTGGTTGAATTATAGTGAGTTGTGCAATGATGGGAGGATGCATGACTGGCAGGCAGGCAGGCAGGTGCATGGAAGGTGAGGAATCGAACGAACAGATGGACGAGTGACAACGTTCGAAATCATCATCACCATCCATCAGAAAACTTACAGCAGTGAATGGATTGTGCATGACGAACGTCTGCGGTGGATAATGAGCGAGCCAGCCAGCTGAAGCAGCTGCCATCAAGGGGGCCTGCATCATTGCTCCGCCTCCAGCTCCTCCTCCTCCGTTCACAGCTGGAGCAGCTGCCACGCCAGCTGTTGCGGCTGCCACCATCCCAGAAGAAGCGACGTAGCGGGGCATGGTCGCAAATTGAGCTAAGCTGTTTTGTTTGTTGCAAGCAGTAGAGAATGAATTAATGAATTAACTAATAAATCAATGAATGAATTAATTAAGGACTGAATGACCAATTAATACATGATTGATTGATTGACTGATTGAAAAGAAACGAAGTAAATGAATGAGTGAACGAATGAATGAATGTACAAACCCAGCAGGATTGACTGCAGTTAATTGTTCAAATGTATGTTGGACTCCACCTGTCTGTTGAAAAAAAAATTAAAATAAAAACGTTCCACAAACATTCTGCCTCCACAAACATTCTGCCTTCACAAACATTCTGCCTGCCTTCAGAGAGGCCGGATGCCTCAGATGGACTGCATGCCAGTCTGCTGCTGCTAGGTGCAGTCCAAACACAAGTCGCCAACAACCAGCCAACCAACTAATCTATCTACCATGATTGCAAACATCATGAACAAATCAACAACAACAACAACAACAACTTCAGAGTGATCCATCCATTGCCTGTTACTGATGACACTGATGTTGCTATTGTTGTGATTGTTGTTGTTGTTGCTGCTGCTGTTGTGGTAGCTTTGTAGTCTTTTTTTATTTCCTCCATCTGCAAACTTCACTGTCAACAATTCTTTGTGGTCTGATGAAGGAGAAGATGAAAATTATGAAGTACAAAAATGTCAGCCAACCAGCCAACATCGAACCAACTAACCAGCGAACTATCGAGCAAGCAATCAAACAACAAAGAGCCAGCAACTAACTAGGCAGCGAGGATCGATTGAAAGCCTGGATGACCTTCTCGCAGCATTCCCTGCTCTCCAGCCTAGCGAAGCCCACGCCCCGACTCTTTCCACTGACTTCTCGGAGGATTCGCGTGCTGACGATGTTACCCACCGACGATATCAACTGCTCCAAATCCGATTCGTTGAAGTAATCCGGAAGGTTGGCTATGTACAAGTTGGTCGAATCCTGCTCCTGTTGCTGGAGGGAGTGAGAAGGGGGGGTGTAATTCAACAGGGCAACCAGTCATCAGAGCAACAACAGAACAGACCTTAGCCATCTGGGCTTGTATGCCATTACTCTGAAGAGTCTTCACAGCCAGCTCTGCTCCTTTCTCGTTGCTGAAATCCACGAATCCGTACCCTGGAGACGGCGGCGGTGGGAATGTGAATTGATGGGAACATATGGGGGATGAATGACTGACTGACTGGTTGGTCGATAGAATGAATGAATGATTGACTGAAAGGTTGCACGATTGGCAGACGAACTCACCTTTGCACTTCCCCGTAGCTTGGTCTATGATTGCTTTGGTTGAAGAGATTGATCCATACCTTAAATCGATCAACCAATTAATGGACAAACAATTAAAAAACTATTAAATGAACGAATGAAAATTATAACGAATGAATAAAAGAATGAGAGAAAAAATTAGTGAAGGAAGAAAGATAGAATGAAAGACGTACTGGGAGCACATATTGAGCAGATCCTTGTCACTGGTCTCCGGCTTCAAACCCCTGATGTAAAGGTTGGTCTTGCTCAGCTGGTCACTAAACAGGCCAGCCGATGATGATGATGATGACGCTGGTGGCGGGTGTTGGTTGTGGTGATGATGGTGGTGGTGATGGTGATGTTGGCCAGATGATGATGATGAAGATTTGTTGTTGTTGCTGCTGGACTGCTGGCCGGTTGTCGTCGTTTGGTCGAAGGAGACAGAGGAAGACTGCAGTGATGATGATGAGGATGTGATGATGAGGATGATGATTTCACATAAAGATAATGCCCCACTGATAATACAAATTATTTATTATCGCGGAACTTCTTGCTCGTTAATATTATTATTGCAATGAGATGAGATTTGAGCAAGTAGTACGAAAGACTGGAGGCAGATGAGAGGAGTGTGAAAGTCAGTTGCCAGGAGTCAATTAATATCATCAAACCTCAGAGAAGTAGTGAGCCGAGAAATCATCATCATCATCATCATCATCATCATGGCTGGCCGCAATGATTATGAATATCACTAAGATAGATAGGTTGAGTGAAACTAGTTTACTATTGTGTGCCTAGATTATGCATGTGTGCGTGTTGATTAGCAAAGAGCCTCCACTTAGCTATCCTCATGCTCCGTTTTATTTGCTGGAGAAAGAAATTATATTTCAGGCTGTTTCTGGCTGAATGCCTCACCACATAATATATATACATATATGTGCGTGTGTGTGTGTGTATGTGAGAATAAATTAATAATATAAGGAGTGCTAGTAGCAGTTGTTGTTGTCCTAGCTGGTTGGATATTAATAATAAAATTTGTAATTAGAAAGTAACACACACACACACACACACACACATACGTGTTTATATATGTGTATATACAGACACACACATGTGATGATGACACAGTAAGATAATACATACATATAAGTGAGAAAGAGATACATGCATACAACATGCATACATCAATTAATAATTATCAGCTTACATGGACTACAGAGACAACACACACACGCACGCACGCGCATACACACGCACACACAGTATATTGAATAGTTATGAGAAAATGCTCAATGTTAACGTGATGGAAAAATTCACTAATTAAAACATGACCTTCAAAATTTTAAGACAAAAAATTGAAATGAAAAATTCAATGTCACAGAGAGAGAGAGAGAGAGAGAGAGAGAGAGAGAGAGAGAGAGAGAGAGAGAGAGAGGGAGGGAGAGAGGGAGAGAGAGAGAGAGAAAAGTGCACACCACATCACAGTACAGCATAACTTTTCAAGGAAAAGAGAATAAACATGAACACTGAATTACATCATCTGAGAAGACAATCTTATATTAGATGGAGTTTCCACACAAACGATTGACTGAATGAACGCAACAAAGAAATGAATGAATGAATGAATGAACGAACGAACGAATAATGAATTACTGATTGGATGAATGAATAAGTATTAAGTGTTCATAAAAGAAAGACATTATAAACATTTTAAAGTTTATAACTGAAACAAACACATTCAGCTGAATTACTCAATGGAAGGATGACGACGACGACGACGATGATGATGATCGACCAAAAGAATGATCATCAAGACAACGATGATGAAATAACACTGATTAGAGATGGAAAGAAGGAAGATACAGAACAGAATACAATCAATTCTTATCTGTTATTCATCCACCCATTCATCACTTTTTCATTTGTTCATCTGCACTCATCTATCCATCCACTTCACTCATCCATCCATCGGAACTTCACTCAATTACTCACTCACTCACTCACTCACTCACTCACTCACTCACTCACTCACTCACTCACTCACTCACTCACTCACTCATCCATTTAACATGCACAGCAGCTCACAAAATAATTCAAAGAGATTAATTCAAAGCAAGCTATCTACAAAAATTTATACAAATAAATCTATGAATGAATGAATGAATGAATAAAAAAATAAATAACTTGAATGATTTGCATGTATAGTTTTCGAAAGTGAAAATTAATAAATCTAATGTGTGTGTGTGCAAGAGATTAAATAGAACAGCTTGACAAGAAGTTGAGGCACAAATAATGATAACACAGCACCACGCTCATTACAGTTAGAACAATTGAAATCAGAACATAAAACAACAATAATAACTTAGAATAATGACAGCAATAAGAGAAACAACAAAAGAATGAAGAGTATAACACATACCAAACAATGCCTGCCAGCCAGCCAGCCTGTCAAGCATACAACCAACTAATCATCCATCCATCCATCTGAGGACAAAGTTCAACTTCATCATCATAATCATCATCATTATTATTATTACTATCATAAATTCAATCACCATCATCATCATTGGTTTAATAAACATCTTAATTGCTATCATCATCATCATTGTCATCACCACCTATGCTGGTGTGATTTTTTTCATCATCATCATCATTCTTTGCCAAAGAATTACATTTAAGTATTATAGATATTTCTATTTTAAAAGTTTATCTATCATTGTTTTAATTATAAATTATACCCCTTCCTATTATATCCACTCTGAATGTTACAATAAAATTTACATTATTTGAAATGAAAAAAGAGAGATGTATACCATACCCGTTGGATGGTGCTCTTATGCACCTTTGTCGAAGTTGCATTCATTGCGATAGGCGTCGGAGGAAAACTGCCAAATGCCAAAATGTTCATCGGAGTGGCCACTCTAATTAAAGGATAGGGAATTCGAGCAGGGTTATTTATAGCCACTGTAGTTGGATTTGATTGGATGGCATTTGTCTGTAGGGACCAGTTTTTCTTTGGAGCAGAAGTTGTTTCGAAGGATGGGTTCGTTGACGAGGAAGATGTCATCCTTGTTAGATGCTGTTTAGTCAGTTAGTTAGTTAATACCTTTCTGTAATATTGATGAATGTCAATCAATTGATGATATGATCTACCTTTTCTGGAAGCCGTTTAAATTCTCTTACTGACTGTTCCGCTATGGGAAGGCTGATTTTAATTAACAATTATTTAAAAGTTAAATTCATTTTTAACTATTCTTCTTACATACTGTTATTCACTACTGATTAAAATTAAAGTATTAAACCGACATTCAAAACATTTAGTATATATACATATATATATATATATATAAAATTATAAAACATCATAATCCTAAGCTCTGTTTAATAATGCTGACAATTACAAAGAAAAACAGGATTATCATGATTAAATTAATATTAAAAACTAGTTTTAAATTTCAACTGAGCCAAAAGAACAATGAAGATTAAAAAGGTTTTGAAAATATAAGAAGAAAATGCAATCAAATCGGATATTGTAAGAAAAGAGCAAGAAGACAAAGAAAAAGAGATTTATTTCCTTTCTTCTCTAACTAACTTATTAAATAAGTAATAAGAAAAGTTTGATGAAAAATAATTACACTAACACTCTTAAGGCAGGAAAAATATCGCAGATGGCAAAAACTCAAAATAATTTAACAAAAGTTATACAAAATTATTAATTTAAATTTTTTATAATAATTATTAAAATAAAAATAACAAAAATCCAAACATATTTAATTAGAAAATTAATTCACGGGTGCAGGCCGGTGCAGATCAAATGAATCGTATCGATGCCGATCAAATTTATTAATCCGGCTAAATGCGGATTTACTGATAAAAATTTTAAAAAGAGAAATTTGTTCGGAAAAATGTCGCCATTAAACTCAAATGCCAGCTAGGCAAAATATATTATGAATGTAGGTTACTTTTAGCAAAGGCTTAAATTTAAATCATTTTATAGCGAATAACATTTTAAAAATTATACAAAAAAAATTGGTTATACACAGTAGCAATTTGAACTATAGTAATTACAACTTCAATTGCTTTCGACACGACAAATCATCGTACTTTGTTCTAAAATTGGAGACTATGGTGGAGTCTGACAAGTTTTTACTTTTTGGCTTCCATTTCATTCAATTTTTTTAAATAACCATCTGAATTGAAATTGTAATCTCTGATGAATGATTCACTGGTCAGTTTCTCATATTTAGATGTCCATGGATAAACAAATGGATACGACTGAACGACATATCATTTGTGGTTGTGTAATATGAAAGCACAAAAAAGTGTCACCAACCAGAATCTATTGAAATTAATGATGAAACCTCGATGGTTTACTCCAATGAAATCATTTTGTTACTTGTAAAATAATTTATGGCGACCCCAGTAACACGATGATTCTATATAAATTAAAATTTAAAATGTTACAAAAATCACTAATTAAGAAGAAAAAGTAAGTGTGTAGTACAAAGCCGGTACAAAATATGAATGCAAATGCATGTGTTTGTCTGTATATATATATATATATACATATATATATATATATATATATATATATATATATATATATATCTGACTGACTGACCAGTAAGCATTATATAAATATATAATAAATTTAAATGCAGACAGCAATGAAAATTTACAATTTTGAATGAATAGAAAACAAAGGAGAGAAACAGCAAAAATGATGAAGAAAAAACAAACGAACGAACGAAAAACGGCGATTTAATTAATTACACCTCTGAATGGCAACCGCAACCACAACCGCAACCAGCGACGAGGCTGTTGACGTTGAATTGAGATATACGTGGTCCATCCATGGCGTTGTAATGAAACTATTTTACGTTATAAACACGACTGAATATTACGAATAACTCAATAAATTTTCATCGCGTCCAATTATTCTGCCAGTGTATGAACGTTTGAATGAATTAATCAACTGAACGAATGAATGAACTGAACGAATGAATGAACTGAATGAATTGACTGAATGAATGAACGAATGAATGAATGAAAACACAAGTTTAAAAATTGTAATATAAACTGTGGTACAAATTAATAATTAATTATAAGTTGCAATGCAGGGTTCACTTTAAATTTCAGAAGCAACTGCTTTCAATTCATTTAAACTTAAACTATAAACACAAAAATACACACACGCATGTACATAAACACGCGAATATAATTAAATAAACATAAATTATATATATATATATATATATGTGTGTGTGTGTGTGTGTGTGTGTGTGTGTGTGTGTGTGTGTGTGTGTGTGTGTGTGTGTGTGTGCGTGTGTACATATATACACATCTACATATGATGAAAAAATATGTATAAAAGAAAGTAAAATGTTGTGCAAACTGAGGAATGTGAAGGTTGTTGAATAAATAAAAAGACAGCAGGGCAGGGCAGAAGGTGAGACAGAAAACAGGCGACACTCAAGTAGATAGATAGATAGATAGATAGATAGATAGATAGATAGATAGATAGATAGATAGATAGATAGATAGATAGATAGATAGATAGATAGATAGATAGATAGATAGATAGATAGATAGATAGATAGATAGATAGATAGATAGATAGATAGATAGATATAATTTGCGTGTTGCATCAAATTAAACAACCACCACCACAAACATGTAAGAATTGTCTCTAATGCACATATCCCTATGCTCTGGCATGCATAATGACATTCATAATTTTTATCCTCATCAACATCTTCTTCATCGCCTCAACTCTCTCCGGCAGCAGCAGCCGCAGCAGCTTCACTGGCGTATCTAGTAGCCGACAACGATTTAGATAGAGCATCAGGCAGACGAAATCTTTTCGAGGTGCAAAATTTATTTTCATTGTTAACGTCCGTGCCAAAGTCGTTGATGAGCGAGCGCGGAGATCTCTTGCCGTGGAATGTTGTCACAGTGGGGTGCTGTAGTTCACTTTTACTTACATCCTTTTTTGTATCCAGAAAATCTTCAAGACTTCGAGACTTTCTTGAACATTCGTTGGGCGATGACTGGGGAAGAAGTAGGGATGGGCTGACTTCACAGGCTGCCTGAGATTTGCTATTTATAATATTATTACTACTATTGCTATTGTTGTTATTTTTAATTTGGAAATATTCAGAGATGGGCAGGAAGGTGGCGCTGTGCTCATCATCGTCGGTCAGTGAGTTTACTTCTCGCAGGACAGTTGACTGTCTGCACCTAACAAAGGACGGTGACGACGATGATGATGTTGGCTGGGACGATGTTTTACATTCGCCAGCACCGCCATCACAGTGTTCCATATTACGACGACCATCAGCACAAATTTGCATAGGAGAAGCAGCAGTAGTAGCGGCAATAATAACAGAAGTACTTGAAATAGTAGAAGCAGCGGTAGTAGAATCTAATGCGCCTGTGTTGTTTCTATCTTGCAGGTGAAGATTTGCAGTAAAAAGGGATTGTTGTTTGTTTGAGAGAGCAGGCTGCAACACGATGCTCGTTGGCCGTCTTGGAACAGACGTCGATTTTAATGCAATCGATGTTGTTGTTGTTGTTGTTGTTGTTGTTGATGATGGTACTGATGTTGATGTCGTTGTTAATGAGATTGTTTCAAAGGTTTCATCAATATTTTTAGCGTTATTATTATCGTCAGTATCATTATTTTTATAAGGGTTGTTGTTGTTGTTTCTGTTGTTGTTGTTGTTGGTAGCTCTGACTAGACGAGGAACATCGAGATGGGGAGGAAATCTTTGCTCAGAATTGAAATGCTGTCGTTGATGATGATGTTGTGGCCAGGAGTACTGTTGAGACCTTTGGAAAGGTCTGTAAGTTGGTGGCGGTTTGTGGACAGGCATAAATGTTGCGGCAATATTTTGAGAGCGGGAGTGCGTGTTCGCCTGGAAAACGTCTGGAGGATAAAATTGACGAGTTGAAATGTTGTTGTTGTTGTTGATGTTGTTGTTGTTGGTGATGTTGTTGTTGTTGGTGATGTTGTTGTTGTTGACTTTGAAGTGAATTTGTTGGTTTATGAAATGAGGAAATCTGAAATTAGTTGGGAAATGATTAAGCTGATGGGGGGAGCGATGCCTGCTTGAATGATAGAACAATGAATTAGTAGGCATATCATGTTCGTGCATCTGCAGCTGCTGAAACGGCTGCTGATACTGATTGTGATGTCGATTCGGCGGTCGAAGTTGTTGTTGTTGTTGTGTTGGATGATGTCGTTGTTGTTGCAGGGAGTGATTGCCACTCCATTGGGAAGAGCTGGACTGAAGCAGATGACGAACTTGAGGGATAGAGTGAAAGTTATGAAGAAATAACTGCTGCTGCTGAAAAAATTGTTGCTGCCTATAATGATGTCTGTTGAAATAGTAGTTGTTGTGGTTGTTGCTGTTGTAATGAGATTTTGAGTTGAATTGTTGCTGGTGGTGCTGCTGATGATGTGGTGGTGGTGGTGGTGCTTGTTTATGTGGTTGCTGCTGGCGGTTGTGGTGGTGGACTTGGTCGTTTAAGTTGGGATGTTGAAATGAGGACGACATGACAATAAAATTGGAGGACATTAAAGATATCGATGAAAAAGTGGCAACAGTTGTTGTCGTTGATGACGATGGTGATGACGACGATGTTGTTGTTTTTGTTGTTGTGGTGGTGGTTAAAATTGTTGCAGACGTATTTGTCATCGGCGGTGTTGTTGTATTATTTACAAGTGGCAATTCTCGTTCATCATCTTCGTCGTCATCATCATCATCATCAACGACAATACCATCACCACCATCAATACTCACCAGACAATCAACATAGAGCTGCTGAAAACCATCATCGTCGTCGTCATCATCCTTCCTGTCAACAGTCCCTCCGCTAAATACATTCATGACACGACGTTCGCTACAAACATCCTCATCATCATCCTCATCCTCATCATCATTATTATTATTGTTGTTGTTGTTTTTATTGTCACCATCACCATCCAGATCATCATCAGCACCAGCCCGAGAACAAGATGAAGTAGACAGAGGTATCAACTGTTCGTTCTCAACGGGTGTGGCAACCTCAAAGATAGGGCTCGGCTGTGGTCTGCCCCCCACCATTCCAACCCTCCCATAAACGCCACAACCACCACCACTACTACTACTACTACTACTAACTCCACTACTATTACTACAAATACTACCGCTGTAGTTACTGCTACTGCTGTTACTACTACTACTGCTACTGCAGCTGCTACTTCGACTGTTGCTGTTGCTAATTTCGGCGTTGTAGGTTGAAAGGAGGTCAAGACTGGTGAGGGACATGCCGGCAGCATCGTCATCCTTCCCCCCACAGTCAAGAGTAGAAGTATTAGAAGCCGTAGTAGAGACTGGAGTGATGGTCTTAAAAGTGAAGTTCATATTGATGTTAGTGAGACATGAATCGTTATCATTTTCGTTACTACTTTTAATATTATCGTCGGAAGAATCATTTTTATCTGCAGTAATTGTTGGTGTGGAGGGGTGAGGTGAGCTAAAGTGAGTGACACTCCTTCTGCTGTGCGTCGTTGTAGCGTCACCAACATCAGCTTCTCTTTTGTCATTGAAGTTGACGACTGCCCTGAGGAGGCTGTTCACTGTCGGTAGTTGGAGGGATAGCGTTGGTGCAGGTTTTAAAGAAAATTTGTTGCTGGATGGAAAGTTTTTTATGCTCGTTTTGCTTCTGTTGATGTTAGCAATAGTGAGGTTGTTGCTCTTGTTTAAAGATTCGCCACCGACATCATCTCGGCACCCAGTCGTCCTGCAATCCTTCATGGATCTCTCCTCATCACAAACGGAAGTGCACGCTTCTACACATTCATCACGCACTTCCGGTCGTTTCAAGATTTTTTTCTCGTATTCGAGCAGCTGACCGAGGAAGTTGAAGTTTGGAGAGATGGTCGGTCGTTTATCCTTTATATACCTGCATGGATGGATGCATGAATGCATACGTGCATGGATGGATGCATGAATGTATGAATGGCTGGGTTGTTAACAGAAATCAAAAATGACATCGCCATACCAATGACGGCTTTAAAATATATAGCCAACGTCATTAACGATATTCATGCTCCATTCAAAGCAGGCAAGCAAGCACACAGCAAGCAAGCAAGCAGATCCTACTTGTAGGCACCGTCGACAGAAAGGCCCAGGTGATTCATGAGGTAGGCGATGGCCAGGGATGGCGATCGTGAGATGCCAGCCAGGCAGTGCACCAGCACGCATTCATTCGTCTCTCGTACTTTATCTGCTATGCCAATGGATTAGGGATTAGGCATGTGGGGAAGTTATAATGCACAAAAATAGTGATGTGTTGGTGCCACGTTAGTTTGAATGACTTGAACAATAGACGACGAGGAAACAAATGACAGAATGAATGAAAGTGAATTGCTCACCGATGAACTGGAAAGCAGCAGGAAGATGGGGTAGGAGGGACTCGTAGTGGCTGTCCCTGATGGGAATCCTCAAAAAATGGCCCTCCCCAAGAAAGGGCGGCCTGTCACCGTCCAAACTTACGTTCAACACGTAGGAAATCCCATTTTGCTGGTTAGGTAGTTTAGTGCATTGCATGAAACCGATGATTTACAACTCAGTGAAAAATTTAAAAGTTAGAGTTAGAGGGAAAATGAAAAATTGAAAACATTATATGGTAAAATATTATACTAATTAATTCATAGCAATGTTTTATTACTGTCATAATTTCTTGGGACATGGCATCTTGCTGAGATCCTAAAAACAAAAACGGTAAAACGCGAGTAGGTCCTGAAACTGAAACTGATATGCATGGCTGGGATATTGAGAGCTTGCATTTGGGTTTAGACAACAACGACGATGATGATGATGATGACATGGTGGGACAAAAAGATGATGATGATGATGATGAAGGAAACGACGACGATGATGATGACATGAAGGATGGAAGAAGAAGGGAGGATGACGGTAGCGAGGAGGAAAAGGTGAATGAATGAGGCAGTGAGAGGTTTGCTGATGTGAATGAAGATGAGGAGGAAGAAGATGATGGAGGCGATGATGACGATGACGACGATGGAAATGACGTCACGTCCTTCTCTCCGTAACACAGAGATGGGTAGAGGGATTGAAATTCTATGAAGCCACCTGATGAAATGAACAATTTTGAAACTCTACACATTTCGTTTAGGGGGAAATAAACTCAGCCTTTCCATATTTAGTCATGATATTTTTTTAATTGTAAAACTTGCCACTCTAGGCTCCAGTCATTTTAGCATAATGGCAAATTATATGTATGGCTTTGCATTTTCATCTAACTATAATCATAATACATACATACACACATACATGCATACACACACACATACACACATACACACATACACACATACATACATACATACATACATACATGTACAGATCATATGTAGTTGCAATCAATTGCACACACCTCTCAAAAAGAAAACATTTTTAAAGGCAGAGAGAGATTTTGTGATGAGTACATGGAGGAAGCAGTTATTGTTAAGTAGGTCAGGGCATGTACTGCACTGATCATAGATGATGACATCGTTAATTGGGTCAATTTGAATGTCAAGGACGTCATCCGCATTTTTGTTATTGTTGTCATCAATGCCAATAAGGGTGTTAAAGTTGCTGTAGTTGTTTGAGCTCTGCCTGAGTAGGTCTCGGACTGACAACTGTGCAGGTGGGCAGAAAAATTTTGTTGAGTGTTATTTTTGAGTGATATTTTTTAAATAGTTTTAATGAAAACAAGTGAATGAGCAAATAAAGCAATAGTAAGTGAATGCGTGCAACGAAGCAATGAAAAACTGCAACTTCATCATTCAAGAGTCTCCTTTTAATCATTTTCGAAGAAGCTACGTTCATGGAAGACTGGATGTGATTGGTCGAATACTCCAGGAATGATCTACTGTCCACCAACAGCTTGGACTAATTATAATAATAAATTAATGTAATTATTAGTACAAAATAATTGGACAGGATTCAAATTGAATAAACTGTTCACTATACTTTAATTAAAGTAAAAGTATTAACCAACGGTATAAAACAAACTCAATTACACACACATATATATATGTATTATATATTGATACAGTGACCTACCTGATCAGCAGAGCATTCTGTAATGATAGTAGCTAAGTCATGGCATGATATGATGTGCCAGCTTGAGTCTGTCTTCTCCATCCTCACACAAAGAATGTTGTTGTGTTAAAATTCTGAAAATGATTTAATTTAGTTTAGCAGAGAAATATTGGAAAGTAATTAATCAAAACGATAATTGCTTAGTTAAATATTTTTTTAAATAATCAATAAAATAAATATATGATCATTACATATCTTTTAATGAAAGAGTTGACAATTGTGTGTTTCACTGACTAACCTTAGCAAATTATGAATGTAATGAACAAACTAGATTAGGATTTTTGTTTTTTTTTGAGATTTGTATATGTTCTTATACACATTACATAAGCATTGTTAATATTAATGATGGATAATTGACATAATAATCTTCAGATATCAAGTTTAGATTTTACATGACCAGGTTGAAAAGAGAAGATACTTTATTAACTTGATGTTTTTAACTCTTATAACTACCTAAAACATTCTAAGATATGATATGATTTATTCATATTTTTTAGTAGTTACTGTTCAAAACTTAACTATGATTATGATATGATATGATATGATATGATGATGATCTATCCATGATGACTTGTTAAATTTCAAGTATGGTTTCCAACCAGCAGTTTAATGGGATTGTGGCATTTTTTCTAATTAAAAAATAAAACAAACTATACAAAATTATACTCTCTTTTATGTTATGTTAATGTATAACAAATATTTAAAAAATAGCATATAACTGTTGTTAAAATTATATATGGTATATTATATATGCTGAATTGAACACAACATACCTATCAAGATAAATTTTAACAATACATTTCTAAACAAGAAATTAAATATTTTCATCTTCTCTGAATGCACAATTCCTTCAAAGGTTAATGAATTTGATAAATTGATTTCCTCTAACTTTTAAAAACTAATAAAATAAAAATATTTGTTGTTAAAATTCCATTATCACCAGGAATCTAAAAATAGAGGATGAGTCATTACATTTTCTAAATGCATGTGTGCTTGTTATGATGAGTGAGCATTTCTAGCATCTACATATTCTATATGTGAAAAGCATGTAAGTAAAGTATGTCTGTGTGCCTCTAGCCTATATATGGCATGTATTCTCATTTATATTGTATGTGCATGCTATATGTATATATTTACATTATAAAACGTATGCATATCTATCCATATATATATATATATATATATATATATATATATATATATATATATATATACACATAAATCACAGGTTAACCTAAGCTTATATTTTATATTCAATGTTACATGTAATTGGAGTTTTTTTAGTGTAATGTTAAGATCTTTAGACATCATGTAAAAAATACTAAAATGCATGCGCTTTGGTGGCTTTGGTGTTTCCTTTTAAATTTGTGAACATTTTGTTCGTGCATGAAAGTAATCATGTAAATGAGCGTTGGTTTAATTTTATTTTTCTGGAAATATGGCATGAATTCAGTTTGATTGATTGGGGGTCATGGTCCTATTGATAATCATGCTATGCTATGCCTTTCTAGTTTCTACAATAATGTGGCTTGCTTATTGTTCTAGACGTCCCAACGCTCATTTAGAGATCAAATTTTAAATTTTTCAAAGCAAAAAAGCAACTAACCTACCAATTTCTGCTAATTTAGTAACCGTTTCGTCCACTTTTCAACGCCATTCGTTGCTACCGATATGGCGGAGACAGTGAAGTCTGCACATTCCCCTCACCACGTGACACGCCAAACAATAACTGAGTCAAGTAAGCAGCCATTTTGAATTGGGTCATTTTTTTCAGGTTTAATAGACATTTCCTGCTGTTGTCGCTAGTTTTTTTATTTCTTTGTTAATTTTTCACTTTCAGGTGTTTCATATTGAATAATCTTTTTCAAGGAAACACTTCTGATGTCTGTTTTAGTTGGCTTCTCGCAAACTTAGTGCATCTCTCAAGCAAGATAGTTCTTTTCATTTTCATTGTAGGCGCTTTACTTTTTTTCTGTAAATTTAAAAATTTTTTTTTTTTAAATAAATTTTTTCTGGGAATGAGAGAAGAGTCTATTGAGTCATGTTCAATTGAAAGTTTAATTTTGTTAATTATTTGAAAAAATTTTGAGAAGATATTGATATAAATAATTTAATAATATAATTATTATAATACAATTTTAATATAATTGACAGATTTGAATAAAAGAATAGTAAAATACATCAAGTCACTTCTCATATAGAACTGGTATCAGAAAATTCAAGCCAGACAAGAAATGAAGACAAAACGGTCAAATAATATTATTAATAACACTAGTGACCTTGTATTACAATTACATCAACAAAGCCTTTTGCAATTTCAAAATGGCTTTCATCACGATGCCCATCTTAATAACAAGCAACTTAGAAGTAGAAGGTGCAATGAAGCAAGGTGTCCAGAGCAGGTTGATCTCATTAATAATACAACTGCACCATTGAAAACATTCGAGGCTAGTCCTTCAAAAGCTGTGCAACAATCTAATCCAGGAGAAAATAATTCAATGTTAATGAGATCACCCACTAACACACAACGACAACGCTGTTGCAATTTGTACGAAATCAATAGCCAGCAATACTGTTATAATAGACAACAACTTATCCAACAAAATTATTTGCAGCAAATTATCTTACATCAAAAACAACAACAGCTTCTGCAAACACTTGAGAAACAGCATATGAATAAACATAAACATCTTTTCAACACTTCACCACCTTATAGCTGCAAACAAAATGATTGTTCCGCTTTTCATTCAATATCAACTTCTTCCCATCCATCCTCTAATTCATCTAACGAAGACAGATGCTGCTCAAATAAGAGCAGCAGTGATGGAAGCACATGTGAGTCGGCAAAACTGAACTGTTATGCTGGAGCAAAATTTGGTGATGCCCCAGAACCAGTCATGTTGCCTTTGCCACCGAAACACTGGTTGAAATGTAGATCTTCCAATTCATCGTCTTTGAAACCATGCGATGACCTTTCGTTACAATTGAAGGTCATCCTTCAGGTAGCATGAAGGTCATCCTTCAGGTAGCATGATGTCAGTTAGGATGCTACGACGTCTTGAGAGTTGTTCACTGGGGGCCAGTCTCTCTCACTCATTCACCGTCCATTGATCAATCAATCCATTCCATTCAATTTACATTTTACGACCTATTCAGTGTTATTACAGCAGCAGCAACCAACTTGAGAATAAAATGATATGATGAATGATAATAGAAACAAAGGAAGTAAATACTTTGTTGAAGAAGTTCTCTGACCCTGGCTCATTTCTTTATTGTTATCATTTAATTTTTAAATATTTAATTTTTGTTGTCTTTCATAAATATATCATGATCGTTTGTTACGTTGTCAACTGTATTAATCTTGTTTTTTGTTCTCCTTGCACTAGTTTTATTGTTTGTATTGAAGATTGTATGTTATAATTTCTTGAAGTTGTTAGTTAATCCATCAAATATTTATGAATATTTCAACTCGCTCCTCATATGACACTGTTGGTATTCATAAAAGATTGTATATTTATATATTTTTTGTAAGACATCTTGTGTTTTAGTAATTTTTTTTCGATTTTGTAACATTGACAATTTTTTTCTTTTGTGCCATCTGCACAATTATTGTTTCTTATGTGAATTCGCAAAAGCAGACATCATTTATAAATGATTAACCTAGTATATGAAGGGTTGAAAATACACAATTTTTTCTGTAGTACAAATTTGTGCGCATATATGCGCGTACTCATATCACCTCTAAATCTGTTGTTGCTGGTGTGGTGCCAATGGAAATACGTGATGCTGTTGATGCCCGGAATGAGATTTTAAAAAAATTCTGGCCCGTAACTTGTCTTGTTTTAATATCTCGTTGCGAGCCTAAAGTGGATCGACCGTACACAAGACAATCTTTTACTTGCTCATATTAATATTTTCCAAGATCCGGGTGCAGTGGTAACCGGAACGGCTTTCAACGCGGCGAATTTTTTTTATAGGAAAATACAGTAAATAAAATTAATTTTATAATAGCTAAACGAAGAATTATATTAATCGTGCACAGCCATAAGTCACAATAATTTAATCAAACTGATAAGTAATAATATTATAAAAAGTGGAGTTATAACAAATTGAACTTGAGAGATACAACAGCATAATAAAAGTGAAAACGTAATGAAACGCAGCATGTATAATAACGTAACTGAAGTAGGCTGGTGCGCAATGCAAAGCCTACAAAATCCCATTAAAATTATTGTGAAGACATTGAAGTGGTCGGTGCATCTTGATCTTGATCGCCATAATAATCCACAACACCTCCATTGTCATCATCTTGCAATGTGTCAACTTGAGTAGCTTCATTGCAAACATTGAATTACATCAACAATCAATTTGTTTGCGGGGACATAATTTGTTGATGTAATGAAAGAATTTTCAAATAATATTGCAATGCTGGTATGGGATTTGATGAAATAAATTGTTATTGCTAACTAAACCACTAAACGCAATAGAAAATTCAAAGTTAATTGATCAAACGACGAATGATAAATAAATAAATAAACAATATTTAAGACGATGATCTGAAAGAAATGCAGAAAAAAAAACTAAAGCTGCTGAAATATTTTTGTGACAAATGTGACAAAAATTGATCAACATGTAACGAGAAAGAAGCAACTTTCATTAATTTGAATTATGTAGGTATGCATTAGAAGTACAATACAGAAGTACAATACATTTAAATATTTAAATCGACTTAACTTAGTTTTATACCAGTAATTTTAGATTAATATGAAATGTGAATTAACTGGTGAAACCTTATATGAATTAATTTTTAAATTCCTTGGCAATAAAAGCACTACATGACATCGTAATACAAATGGCTGACTCAATGTAGGAACCATAATATGAATGCAATTAATGAACAAAATTAATGAAAATTAACAAAGGAGAATGCTCAGAAGACATACTAAAATAAGTTTGTTCACCACATTCATCACAACCGCCATTAAGAAAGATGTCTGTGAGAAGTGATGGGGAAGCAAATAATAAAATTCAACTAATTCCTTTAGACAAGAACATGAAAACTTACTAATGAAATATGAATGAACAAGATTAATAGTTAAACTAGACAACAATGGATAATTAAAAGTTGAATACATAATTAACATGACAAACTATGGAGAACAATTTGAACAGGATTGCGAAGATGTACACACATATTTCTATATATATATATATATATATGTATATATATATATATATATATATATATATATATATATATATATATATATGTGCACTTTCACATAAACTCAAATTTATAAAAAGTTATTCATCCTATATATACATTCAATTATTGTCAAATAATTTTTTTTTTTGAGATATTGAAACAAACTGACAACATTAAAATCCAGAAAAATTTTCAAATAAAAAAAAACATAATTTAAAAAAAATTAAACCCTTATGCATACACTTATATATATACATACATGTAAGTGTATTCTTAGGTATACATATAAAAGTATTAATTTTAAACATTATATCCCATGTGAGAGTGCATGTACTTGATGTAATCTGTTGATAGATAGCTATATAGAGATAGATGGGCTAGTTACGTCTCGTCCTGTAAATTATGTAGGCAGCGACAGCTATTCCAGCTGCAAGGATGGGTAATCCGATTCGCAGTGCCTTGCCTATTTTCTGATGAGCAAGAGGTATATCAAATGAACCATTCACAAATAGACTGGACAATGGACATATTTCATCGACAATTCATACAAAGATGAATGCATTGAACTGATAATGGACAGCGGATGAACAATAAAACAGCAAGATGAATGGATCAGACACAGTGAATATACAATGCAAAAGTACAAAATACCTCTGCTCTAGGAGACATTTCTTCTTTCCTTTCGATAACTAATTTCACCTCGTTGCCAGCATCCAAGAATGTTTGAACCGCAAATGAGTGGTTGACTTTTTCCAAGTTTACAGAATTCAACTAAATTTGATGAAAATTAATCCTTTAACTTTTAGCAAACAACAACAAAAACTATTACATAGCCATTACTAGTTTGAATCATTAAAAAATTAAAAAAAGACAATCTTTGGTTAAAAACAAGAAAAACTAACGACAGAATGCAAGCTGCCAACCTCAATGATACGATCACCAACTTGAAGTGTGCCATCTTCATCAGCAGCTCCACCTTTTTTAATCTTCGAAACAAATATTCCACAGTCCCCTAACTGATTAGGCATGTCGCTACCTCCAATTATGTTGAAACCTAAGCCTGAAAGGGGAGAATAAGTTAATTCAACCTGTCAGTTAATAAATTAATTATCAAGTTATCAAACACACTCAACAAACAAATGTACTTCATCAATAAAAATAAGAGTGAGACACAAAAATACCTTTGCTGCCTCTTTTGAGATTTAAAATTATTCTTTTGTCCGCCATCTTATCTTCTTCACAAGTTTAATAAAAAATATATAATTTAACAGTTAGTATTTTTTATGTTATTTATGATAGTGTAAAAGTGTAAAGTAAATGTAAGTAAAAGACGCTAATCAAGCTTAATTAAATTAAATTAAGTTAAAGTTTTTTAAAACAAACACCAAAACGCCACTGACTGAAAGTGTTGAAAAAACCTGACACAAATTAATTAGAATTAATGCCGATAACAAAATCATTTAAAAAAGTTAGACCGACCTTTTTCGAAAGATTCAAAAGTTTCAAAACGGTTACAAAAATATAAAAAACGGTTTTTAACTGATAAACGTAGCAGGAAAAATATAATATAACACAATACCTGTCGTAACTAAAAAATTATTGGATTGTATTATCGCCCTCAGTCGAAACGTCCTTTAGGTCGGTGATGTGCGCGTTAACTCTTGAAATAGCGAAATGAGCTGCTAAGGACTAACAGCACAGAAGAATAAGACAGCCGGAGCTGAACAAACCCGAATCTCGTGATGGTTAAGGCTTCTATTCTAATTGACGAGGCATGAACCACTCCGCCATTCGCATGGATGCATTCGGCAACAAAAGCAAATAAATTCTACAATAAATCAACCAAATGATTGTAGAATGAAAATGTTAGAATTAAATATGAACTGATCGAGCAAAACTAATGAAGTATTAGAACTGCATAAGACTGATGATGATTATACTTATTGTAAGCCAAAATATCAATAAAAAAATATAATTCTAATAGTAAGTAACTGCACAACTGCAAATAGGGCACCATTATGGTATTTGAAATTTAAAATAAAATTTATTACACAAAATTTTGTTAAAAATTTTAGAAAAAATGGGATAAAACAAAAAATAAACTATAAAAAATGTCACAATTACAAAGTGGATGAACAATTATGTTGTGAAAAATAAATAAAACTGAATTGTATAAATGAGTAGACCTAAAAAAATTCTGTTTTAAGACTGTAAAATGTATGCCAGGCTATTTATGAAAGAAATGAAACACTTGAAAAACGTTATAGAGAGAAGTACGCATTGAATTTAATGGAATAAAATTAAAATTATTAAAAAATGCTCAAAAAATCAATGAAGCATTCAAATCAAAAACACATAACTCCAGCCCACTGTCCTCATCATCACCATCATCATCCTTCTTCTTCTTATCAACATTACAAATGAAGAACTTACATCAAACAGATGAACAACGAATAATATGTAGTAAGGCACTGTAGAACAATACATGAACCATCATGGTGATTCATAAGAGACAGGAGTACAAGGTGATGGCGCTTATAATGGTAGACTATCTCCAGAGAGTTCAATTGATGGGTGAAACTGCATGAAACAACATTAAGCAACATCTCACATTATCTGAAATCTAAAAACTAAAGAATATAAATTGAATAGAGGCTGTTAATAACATAACATAACACCAACAATAATCATATCAAATCACATTTTATCAGATATTTATATACATAACGTATAATGGATATTTTAATATATAAATATATTATATATATGTATATTTGTGTGTATGTATGTGATTTATATGTTAACATTACCTTACATTAATTAAATCTCCCCGATCAATTATGATTAAACTAAATTAAAGCTGCTCATTGAGAAAGCAACTCAGTGAAGGGTAAATTTATACAATTCTTAAAAAATACATTAAGTATAGTGAACAATAAGGATTAAAACTTATATACAAAAGCAGGGTGTGATAAAATAATATAAATCAAACTTGACATATGAACAAATTCACATTCCATTTGTCTAAAATTTGAATAAAAAAAAAACATCAGAACGAAATAAAATATTAAATAGACAGCGGTAAGTCGTAAATGTAAACATTTCTACAATTACTATCATTACGATCCTCATCACTATCACCAAGTTATGATGAAATCATTATTTAATCACAGAGCAGACAAAAATATTGTACAATATGACGCACGTGTACTGTCGATTCATTGTAATACGCACCATCACTTATAACTGTACAATTATTAATTAATTAATACACGAGTAAGAAATAAAACATCAATCCTTTCAAATGAAAGAGCGCTGAAAGTAGACAACAACGAAATGAGAAATTACGCTGTCTACCATTCCAACAAACTACTCGTTCATTCATTCATTCGTTCGTTCGTTCGTTCATACATTGTCATATTCATTCATTCAATCGTTCGTTTATTCGACCAAGGCACTGGTGATGTTCATTGAAATTAGTTTTTTAAAATTATTAAGTCAAAATTATAAGCTGACTTAATATAAATACAAATACTTCATAATGTAAAATAAATAAGGTACACAACAACGAACCAAACATTATATAAATAGCATGCAACACGCACGCACACACGCACGTACACACACACACACACGTAGGTACATAAACTTCCAGCTTCCTTCACATATTCAAGCATGAATGTACGGTACATCAACTTCTTCAGGCATGCATGGAAGTGCAGCGTGCTGAACATTTAAGTAGACAGCTGCGAGTGTGTACTGCATCTCTACATCAGTCAAAATAAAAACGAAAGATTCAATGATAAAAAGGCAAATGAATAAAAGAATTACTGATTGATCGATTGAATGAACGAACTAACGGATGAATGAATTAATTAACAAGTGACTGAATGCTGCATTAAATTTTCTATGTTTGATCGTCATCTATATTCACAGCTCACTTAATAAAAATGTCATTAATAAAAAAAAACAAAGCCGAATTTTAGAATGAGCTTATACTTTGAAGAATGACATTTTCAATGGAGATAGTGAAGGTAACTATTATAGACATGTTAAGAAAGTTATGAGGACGAACGTGTAAACAACGAAGAAAATGAACAAATGAAATGTGATGAATAAGAGCAAAATAACATGAAAACGAAATAAATTCATGGAGAAAATATTGCAGGTGAACATACAAAGGCAAACCCGACACACAAAAAAAGAGTACAACTAAAAAAATACTCGACAACAAAGGCAAAAAAAAACGAAATTACTCTAAACAGATATCTGGTAATTAAATTATTAACAAGCAAACAAAATCATGTTAAAAAATAAACTTAAATTAAAACAAGTGTAAAGTGACAGAATGATAATCACATACATACCAAAATTACATGCACATAAACTCAAACACAAACAAACACAAACACACAGAGAGAATTCAGATCTCTAAGTTATGAATCCTGGTAGAGTTGAGTTGCAATGATGTCACTCGTTGACACAGTTTGACATGCAACATTTGTGAACGTCTTCTGTTTCGGTTTGCCCACTTGAGTCACATTGCCATCAGAAGGGTTGCTGCCCTTACAAACTAAGAAATTTTCTCCGAAATCTGATGCGAAACGCAAATCCGAAAGAGCTGACGCTGACATCTGATAATTTTCTGGCACAACTGTCACTGAGGCTTTTTTGTTCTTCTCCTCATCCTGTCGAAAATTCCAAATAGGCACTGCCCCCGCCCCACTAAGACCTGCATCAATGTAGACCGATGTCTCCTGGGCTGGTGGGCGTTTGTCTCTCAGAGGTAGAAATTCATTGACCTCTTCTTCAATGCTTCCAATGCTACCAGAGTGATCAAGATTTGATTGATCTGTACCATCCTGAAGCCCACTTGTTGTCACTGGTTCCTGTTCATTTTCCTTCCACACTCTCGTTGCCTTCCATTTTGCTCTACTGGTCTTGTGAGCAAGAACAGAATTGAAGCAGAGAGTTTCACCAATTTGGAAATATTTTTGAAGGTCTTCCATGGGTCTCTGCATGATAGAACGATCAAAGAAAACATGTTCATGTTCTCCCAAATCAATAATTCCCCAGAGTTTCGCAACGTGAAATATTTTTCCTTTCCCACTGTTGGTGGTGCCTCGATTGACAGAGTATCCAGATGATGCCGATGGCAGCTGCTGAGAGTTCAGTTGGGATAAATTAGTAGTTGGCAAAGGTTTGTTATTTGTGATAACAACACTCAACTTAGCATTCTTCACCAACTCAACGCTGGCATCTTCTGGAGTTGATTGACTGATGATGAAAATTCCAGGAAATCTCTTCAGAAATTCCTCCATTTCATTTTTTGTACTACCTGCAGTTGTTCTGATGATAACATCTCCAACTACACAACCGAGAAGGGCCTGGATCTTCATGGAGCCTCGTTTCTCAAGAGTTTCTTTTAAAAACATCACCGACTTATACTCATTAGCAGTCATTGTTATTTGAGAAATTGCACTTTTCTGTTGGGGATTATTGAACTGGAAAGCTCCTCTATCCCCCTGATACAACTGACTTTTGTCCCCAAATGAATGAGATCTAGGTATAGGCACACTGTTACTGCTTGGCTTAAAGCGCCTCTGAGCTGGTGGAGTTTTGGGTGGCAAAAGATTTTGTTCTGGAAGATCGAAAGTTATTTTCCTTTGAACTCCAGGGGTTGTTGGAGTTGTTGGAGGTGGTGCCAATCCATCTCTTAAAGCAACCATATCACCTTGCACTTCAAAAATGTGAACATGTCTCAAAAGCCACTTTTTAAACTCTAGTTGAGGTCCTACAACATTCCTTATTTCATGAGTAGTTTGAGACAAGTGACCCGCTAAACTTTTAACAGGAACCCACTTTTCTTCACGTTTGTACATCTGGTTTTGAAAGAACTGAACAGCTTCCATTTCAACAGAAACATCAGGTAAGCTTCTTCTAGATGGCAAAGACGAAACAGTTGTGCCACTATCCTGACTGACTGAATCATCATCATCACGCCCATCACACAATGAAACCATATTACCCTTTATGGTAAACAGTGATGGGTATTTCTGGAGAAACGACTTTAATCCAGATTCATTGCCCCCGGCAGCTGTTCTCATCTCAGGAGTGAAATTGTTGCTACCAAATCTGCCAGCCAGCTGGGAGATCGTCAAGTGACCTGAACTATTCATCAAAACTTCCAAAAAGTATAACATGGCCTTGTGGCTTGGTTCGTCAGACATGATAACTATCGCAAATACTAAAACTTCCCTCAATGAATTTAATCAACAATTTTAAACAACGCAAGTATTATTATAAGTGAATATAACAAACAAGCGTGTTCTCAATTTTTTTGACTTTTTTAATATCAGATCTGTGAAAAAGCGAAATACAAGGTTGTCTCTGCTTCGTACAATCGAAAATTTGCCGAAGAAAGTTTACCAGTTCGACTGAAGTGATTGCAAACAACGGTGCCACAGTTTCCTACTTTAAATCTGAAATGAAAAAATACAAAAATGAAAAATCAGACGTCAAATTGTCTGGATCGCCATTTCAAGTTTGTTTGACAAAAGCGCAATTAAAAATTTAAAAAAATTGCAAATATCTCAAAGTAAATTACTTTTAAACGAAAAATTTAAAATTACCTGTACAGTTGCTTTTTAATTGAAAGTAAAAACGATCACTTCTTCGTCTACGAAACCAACCTTGCTGCCACCATTTTGCTTTGGATAACCTGTAACCTCAACCTTTTTGCGGTGCTCAATATTTTAGCCTTAAGAACAATCGTATCATTAGCAATTGCCAATAACAGACGCTTACCAAAGGAAACAACATTTCATCGTGTCGTCTTATGAACCCAAAAGAAAAGGTACCATAACAGCAGACAAAATCGCAAGTTTTTCAAATTCAAGAAGTTTCGCATACATCAAATTATGGTGCAAATGCGAAAGCACGATGTTAATTCATAAAAAGTTTAATCGTGCATGTTGCAGAATTTTATGACAGATTCGTCGAAAATTGTTAAATACCAAAAATATATAAATTCATTTTAAAAAACAACAAAAAGCCTCCATCTATTTTTTAGAAATATTAAAATTGATGGGCTTCTTGGTCCTCATCTTCAAATGATGACGACTCTGAAGATGTATGAGCAGGATGATGCGATGCATCTTTAGACAATGCAGTTAACATGAGCTTCTTTTCGCGAGTGAAACCGGCTCTCAACGTAAAAGGATCTATCTTTTCACCAAGGTCGTAACACTGGCAGAACCTAACAGATTTTGAACGCCAGTGACTCTTTATTTTTCTCTTCGCTGTTATCTGAACGCGATTTTCTCTTAAAACCTGGAAAAATATAAATATTTAGAGTATATGACCTTTAAGAGAAATTATACTTAGTTCCAACTGAAGAACATTTTGAAATAAAACCTGAACGACAACATCTTTATTTTCGAAATCGTCTCCGATGTTGAGCGTGAGGTACATTCTTCTTACAAAACCTTCATCTCTGAAGATGGGAACACCGACTTTCACTTCTTTGCACCCAGATGAGGAATTATTTGAATTCGTAGGAGATACTACCTCGTCTGACAAACCTTTTCCTAGGTCATTTTCCGCATTTGTGTGATTTCGATCTAAGTTCGAAGTGTGCATCAAATCCTGCGGCGAGTTGTCAGAGGGCGAGGTGGTTTGGATGATGATCGGCAGATCACAAGGTGGCAGAGGTTTTTTTTGAAGCTGCAAGTCAGTTGTTTGAGGTTGGGGCTTCCTCGATTTCATGGATTTGTTGAATTCGGGAACAAGCAAGCTGTTTTGTTTGGAGACTAACATGGAGTTTATTTTATCAATTCGAATGCGACGTTCGGTTTCATCATCATCTAAGATGGGAGCTTCAATGATCAACTGCTTGTCATTTGTCAGCGTGGCTTCCAGCTTAATTATGGTGGTCGATTGATAAGTTTGAATTTCTTTTTAGCAGCGAAACAAAATAGTACTTAAAAACTTAACAAATTAAATAATATTCATAACAATTCAGAACTAACTTCATTTAAATCGACATTAGAAGAGAGTCTGAACTTTCTACCGAAGAAGTAGATGTAAGGAAATAAACTATTGAAAAAATTTACGCCATCCCCACTATCTTCAGCCGCATCAATTTTGTGGCACTCTTGTTGCTTTTCTGTTTTCCATCTCGAGTTTTTCTTTTTGTTTGATTTTTCATTCTCCTTAGATGGCTGCCCCTCTTCTTTCCTACTTTTCACGCAGGTAGCCTCAATTAAAATTTGGCACTTGGCGGGCCAGGTCGTAACAGTTATCGAAGTCTTATCCATGGCGTTCATATTGAATACAAGTCTGAATCGCTTGGCGAACGTGAACTCCCTCGCAGTTCCATCCTTGGCCACTACAACAATCGGCGCTTCTACGACAAAAGAGCTGAAATCGACAGATTCACTTTGGAAACAACGCCGAGGGCAAGGGTTGAACTGTTGCACGTAAGTTTTAAAATTGTCTAAATAATTAAGAGAAATTTCAATAAATCGAAGCATTCATTTCAATGAATGAATCAATGAACTATTTAATAAACGAAGCAACCTCCATTGGATATTTAACTTCGTTCTTCGTCACTTGGAACCATAAATCCTTCTTCTTCTCAAACAGCTTGTTGCTCCGTTTCTCGTTCCGTTCGTAGATAAAGTCATTCCATTCGGCGAAAGAATATCTGAGTCTCTTCATGGGGACAACAATCATCCCGGGACGCTAAAGATGATGAGGGTAGTACTACAAACGACGTAAGAACAATGAAGTTAATGAAAATAAATCAAATAACGAATAATACAAAACTTCGATTTGAAATCAAAACCGAATTACGAAATGAAAAAGCCGTATTGATTGGTGACAATAACGGAGATTAATATTAATATAGAAATTTAATGCTTTTTCCTTCTCATCTACCGAAGAAATTCTCACATATAAACACATCGGCGTCGTGAAGGAGAGTGCGTCGCATGAATAAAAATAATATTTTCGTTGGGGTCCGTCGGTAGCGTCGCCACAAAACTACAGGATATATATATATATATATATATATATATATAACACATATAAATACATCATATACAGTAAATGTATATACATACGCCATATAAGAACGAAAAGAACGTATAAAAACATATTTGGTCTGTCGGTAAAATACATCCACGAACATCTGGAGAGATTTATAAAACAAATGAATATAAGGCGTCCAGTTGAATAAATAAATAAATAAATATCCATCAACAGCCACACACTTTAAAATATTGCTACATGCCCAATGAATGAATGGATGGTAAGTAATATGAAGTCTGATGGTGATGTCATCTCGCTTTTAATTTGTTAGAAATGTTTTCACAGTATTCATCGAGGACATCTAAGTGGATTGCCATGCATCTGCTAAGCTGCTCTCTGGATTAACATACATCAGTCAGCTAAAATTGCAACCGCAAATAACCCAAACCCATAATTAAAACCGTTAGGACTAACCGCACAGGGCTCTAATTCGCACCACTATATGAATAAATAATAATAAATGTGTATATATATATATATATATATATATATATATATATTAACAAATAACAAACAAATAAAAATAAACATTAACAAACATTACAAAATACATTTTTTTAAATCGTATTAAACTAAGAAATGAAACAAAGTTCAAGTTCGAAAAGTGGAGAAACTCAACCGCAAGTTGAATACCGTCGAAAACCCATTGACTTTTTTTATAAATAATTGTAACCTGCGGTAGCCTCACTCAACCCAACCCAACGTTAACAAATAATGAATGATCATATCATGTACATATACTAATCAGAAAATATATATGCAATTATCTATCTATTTGATGAAAATTAAAAAATTATGAAACTTGAGCAAGAAAAATTTCTTCAGACCAGATGAAATGGTTGGCTCACTAAAGAAGCTGGGTGGTTTATAACTGTGTGTCAGTATAAGTAGCTATCACGAATTCACTAAATACATTAAATGTTAGTTCAATGAAATTATCTATCTATCGAACGAATGAATGAATGAATACCATATTATGTATTATATCATATTATATCTTATCATATTATATTAGAAAACTAGAAACAAACATCTACTGTTACAACTGAACAGCAAGTAGCACACACAGACACGCAAAGGCACGCACACAACACACGATACGACCTAACTGATTGGCGTAACATGAAAAAAAATAAAATCGCGCGGAAGAAATTTGAAGGTAAAAGTCGTAACTACTGAACAGAAGAATATCAATCAGTATAATATAACAAGAAAGTTCATTTATTAGACTGAAGATAAATAATGCAATTGAAACAAAACAAGGAAGATGGAGAAGACGACTACCCATTAAAAATTTTTTTTTTTTACAAATCTCAAATAGAAATCATCATAACCATCCTCCTCCTCCCCATCACCATCATCTTCATCATCATAATCGCAATCAGCAGCTCTTCAAATCGAGTATTTCGAGCATGATGGGTTCAATTTCACGTGGGTTGATGTCCATGAGTACCTTGGCATGCGTCTCGACGAGGGAGTCGAGATCTCGAACTCTGGAGAGCAGTCGGGGAAACATCTCGACGGATCGTTTGAACGTGTACTTGGCTTCTAAATAGTGCTTCAGCAGAACGAGGTACCTGTCCTGGATGTTGGAAATTATTTCAGGGGCGATCACATGAGGGCCGTCTGGGGAGAAGAGGACGAGGACCAGCAAGATGACCAGGAGAGTTGCATCGTTGCCAATTAAAGCCTTCAACGATCTGCAAGCATGTCATCTTTAAATAATTATTTCCGTTCAGCCATCTCTCATAATAGTTAACTTTACACGCAACTATGGAGGACGACACTACAAAATGGAGGGAAACTAAAAAGAGGATGAACACAGAAACAGTCAACTGAATTATCTGAATGACAAACAAAAACGATCAACTGTTCATATGTGCTGGGGGGATGGAAGCAAAAAAGAAATGAAAAACTGTACCCACCTACAATACCTGATGTGATCATCATGCAGGTCAACATATCCAGTGGCGTTCTTGAGGATCTCGGTAGGAATGTCCCCGTTTGGAGTGGCCCAGACGTCCCTGTCGGCATCAAAGAGAGAGACGGGTCGAAGAAGGAGCAGGTGGAACCAACAGCCCTTCAATATGCTAATCTGCAGGTCCTGCAAATATTAATCAAACAATTGACCAGTTGAGCAGCCAGCAAAACAACGCAATCAATCATCACCAAACTGACATGGCTTCAATTCAAAAACACTGATCACCTGGGTTAACTTCACAAAGTCCTCCAATCTCTTGGCAAACTTGATCAGCCTAAGGACAGTGATTGACGACTGGTTGACGATTTGATTGAGAGAAGGATTGAGCTGTGTGATGTGAACCAGGGGTTCCACATCTACCGTAAATGACAGGTCGTACACCTGGTCAGGGGTTGCATACATGCACGCACGTCACATCCTTCCATATTTCACTCTACCCTATTTTTTAATTTTTTTAATAATTTAATTTCAAACAACCTGGTTGAGCTCAATTAACATGTGACATTCCTCGGCGGACAACTTTCTAACCAGAAGCTGATCACGCGACTGCGACGACGTCATCAAGCTGCTACCGATGCTTTTGTTGCTGCTACTGGGTAAAATATCAGTTCGGGCAATGGTCAACAGATTTGTGTTCTCCGGGTGCGAAGAGTTGGAAAGTTTAATGAGGTTGTCTGTCACATTCGTAGTTGCTACAGTCTGAGACGTTGCAGGTGGTGTGGTGGCAGATGACGTTGACGTCAGCAAGGCTTGAGTAGTCATCAAGTTTAGATTATTATTGTTATTATTGTTACCATGATGATTTGCAATTGGAGAAGAGGACAATGACGATGAAGATGATGTTAAAGAGGACGTTGTTTCTAAAAATTTGCGCTTTCGATTTTGCTTCACCAGTTCCATTCTTTTCCTCTTCTCTTCGGTACCTTCGTAATGTGGCAATAATAATAATAATAATAATCTAAAAACAGTAGTATTTTTTTCACTAAGAAGGACTAAGAATGAAGAATAAGAAGAAAACAATGAAGATGTGAGCCAACCGACCGAGGATGAGTTCCTTCCTCATGCCCGCCTGCATGCACTGCTTCAACCTACAGTAGGAGCAGAACCTCCTCGTGTGCACGTTTATGTAGCAACATCCATCAAATATGCATTTCATCTCCTTTCACAAATTTTAAATAATATGCAAATCATATCCTCTAATGAATTTCAAACTAAATTATTATAATGAATGAATGAATAAACTAAACAATTTACATAAAAAGTAGCAACTGAAGATTGACAAACAACTTATGAAAAGATTGAGATGAAAAATTCAAAAAGCCCAAACAAAACATTACAAACCTTCTCTTTGTGAGCATTCCTCCTGAAGAATGCCTTACACGATTCACATGAGACCACATCAAAGTTGCAACCAAGTGCTCTATCTCCGCACACAACACATACCTTGAAAATAGAAAATTAAAGTAGCTAATAAATGCAAATGTCACATTAAGAGGAGGTATATAAAAGAAAAAACTAAGCAAATCAAGCCACATCCACCTTATCTTCCTTACTAATCAAAGTTGATGTGTTTGAGTTATTTATTGCTGAAGAACAGTTGGTGGTGTCCTCATTGTTGAGAGTAGATGACGCCTTCATCAGGATTTTGTTGTAAGAAATTTCGTCATTGTCTGTGCTACTGCTGTTGTCGAGAACGCTAATTGGAATTGCTTGTCGTTGCTTGCATTGAATGATCATTGAAGGCTTTACATCAATGTCGGCAGGGACAAATCGATTTGCCTGGAAATCATTTGTTGAGAGAGACTTTGTTGCAAAGAGTAGCAGATTGTTAACATCTGCTGACGATACAATCTCATGACCATCATCATGATTTTGCCGGTTAAAACTGCCAACCTCAAATTCAAATGTACCCACGTTGTTATCAATAGTTACAGCATTAATATTACTACTATTATTATTATTACCCATGTCCCTACTAGCACTATTACTTTTTTCAAGAGGAACAGAGTTACTCCTAGCCATTTGGATTTGTAATTATCAAAATATAATACGATAGATGACACATTTCATTTTATTTTACCATGGCATATATTATGGTACCATACTGTGATTTAAATGGAGGTAGGTAGATAAACAAACGGTAAATTATTCAATTTAGGCCAGGGAGAATATAGTTATTTAGTACATCTAACTAAATTTAAAACTCAATCTGAATGAAACTGTTAAATTAAAAAGTATTAGCTGTTAGCGTTAACACAATTTATTACATATTATCAATATTATTTATGTTACACAAGCAAATAAAAATATGTACCAGGTGTTATTATGTTGTTATTAATTATGGATTTAAAAAAAAAAAAATTTAAAAAGTAAAGCCCAAACATTTATAAAGAATCGTAAAATTGTTCACAACATCTATTTCTAATTATGTTCACATGATCAAGCAAAAAAATTCACTAATCTTACCTGCAACTGACGAAACGAACTCTAAAACAAATTATTATTAATTATTAACGGGGGGTTTAAAGTGGTTCAGAAGACTATGGTCTGAACTGGTCTGATCTGGTAAATGTCGGAACTTAATCAAAACCTCTGCTCACAAGAAGAAAAGATCTTCTGGGCAAAACATTTAAGGCGCAATTCACTTTTGAAAATATTATTTCCAGCGCATAATTTAATTTATTTTTTCGACGCTACTTAGGCAACTGTTTGATGGCCTTGTAATCGAGATCGTCTGATGTTGTTTAGCAGTGACCACTGACCAGCATCGAATGCCACGTATCTCTATTCTTCGATGTTTGCATTCATACCACCGAGCGTACGAAATGTGGCAAGCGTTTTTCCAACTTACGTGTATATAGATGTTCACACTGTTATCTATCATGCCAAAAACGAGGGAGCCCAGACAACTGAGCAGAAACTAAACTAACCGATGCGTCACTCGAGTTCGAAATAATACGGCTCGTCAAGCAGCAGGCCACCAACCGTGAGTGAGATCAAACAAACAAAATAATCTAACGAGAGTAAGTAATGAGAGTTCACACGGTAGGAACGCAAGCAGCTCATAAGCGAAGTGAATGGATCGGTGGCAAGTCGTTACAAAAAAAAAAATCGCTAAAATGAATGCAAACAATTTTAAACAAAGTGAAAAAAGAAACTGAATAAAATCATAATGTCAATGAGGGCGTACATGAATCAGAAGGGTTAATGAAAAATAATTCATGACTTTAATAACTACTGATAACCAAGATCATAGCGCATCAGTATATGTACATTAATTAATGCGTACGACTCACAACGCTGCTAAGTAAATTGATTTCAATGAAACATAAAAGAATGCGTACAGCGGCACAAACGAAAAAGAGAATACACTACAAATAAGATACACTACAATCGTCAGACTTGAAATGAGAACATTCCCAGCCCATCCACACATCCAAATACAAATGCGTGCAGGCAGTAGGCCACCAACAGCTACTATGATGAAAGCCGCACTGTCTCATTCAAGAAGCAACTACCGTTACGTGCCAACGACGACGATGATGGTGGTGATGATGATAATAATAACGGTAATGATAACATCGATGATGATGATGATAATTAAGAGCATGTTAACAAGTAAATAATGAGTCAGCAACAACCAAATTTTTCACAAAATGCAGTAGTAAGCGGTCTCGCACTCACATTAAATGTTCCTTATATACATTTGGGACGTTGCCTCAAAAAATAAGAAGAAAAAACGATATTAAAATAAAGAGAAAAACATTTAACAAACTAATGACATCAATGAATATTATAGTTAATTTACACGTGTCAGTATATATATACACACACACACAAAGAATAATGAATCCACCACCATCACATCACTGCAAGTTTCTGTAGTTATCTGGCATCAATGCTTTCCAAATCTTTAGCCTGAGCCTGTTTTGGTTGAATGCAAGATCTTGCAACTGACTCCAGCAACCTTTCGTAGAATTCAATGGCTAATGATTAACTTGAGATCAATTTGAAATTAACTGCTTGCCCAAACGACACGCAAAACTACCGACCAGTTAACTCATTGATGGAATTAATGCAAAAAGAGCTATACATCGGATGAGAATGTTAGGTAGAAAAAAGAAATTGTAAGCTTACTTCTCGATTTCTGGAGCACAGTGAACAAAGTCGTGGGTCCAGAACTTGTAGAGAGGACTCTTGATGAGTTCGATGAAGGTCACAAGGAGTCCCCAGGGGTGTGGTCTGTTGACGATCAACCTCTCGAGTAGCACTCTCGTAATCTGCTCCTGGATGGCCTCCGTGTTGGCCTCCGCGAATAAGTAGAGCAGCGTGCAACTGAAGTAGTGCGTGTGGCTATTTGGATAGCGCAACTGGTTCACCATTGCATTCAGGAACAAGTAGCGACCTGAAAATATTTTTAGTCTAAATTTGAAACACTCACAACATTTTTCAAATCAAGTGGGCATTTAATGAGATTAGATAGAACTCGATCTAATGATGGAAAAATAAATGGTTTGATTGGCAGATGAGGAGACCTTCAGTGTCGAGGTCGACGGCGAGATTCTGGAAGATGTCCATATGAGAGGAGTGGGCGATGGCGCTGGTGCTCGGCGTCTGGCACTTGCTCTGTATGTGGGCGATGGCCTGGCTGCCCACGTGTAGGACGACGCTGTTCAAGAGGGGGATGTTGTACTTCATGCCAGGCGTGTTCGACAGCTGCAACGTATAAACCTTATTATTATTATTCATCTTAACAAGACTCATAACACGTTCCAATATAGTTAGAATAATTATTTTTATTCATCATAATGACAGCAGCAGTAGCAGCAGCAGCAGCAGCAGCAAACAGACCTGCAATCTGCTCCTGAGATCCGACAGGAAAGTAACAGGCGACCTCGTCTTCAGGTAGGAGTCCAAGTCCTTAGTGGATATTTTAAAAATAAGTGAATGAATGAAGAGGTGAAAAATGATTGATCGATCAACCGACCAACCATTTAACCAAACTTATAAATGAAACAAAACAAAACTTTCCAGACCTTCCTGAGTTGCACTGGTTGTATGAGAGCAGCAAAATTGGTCATAACTCTCGGTGGGGTGTTGATGTCTGGAAGATGTTCGACCTTCAAGTTGGGAGTGAAAGGGTCAGGAAGACGCATGGAACGAGGAAATGCACTCAGTATCAAATTTCTGATCTGTATGCAGTTCGATGGGATGACGTCGCAGAATGTGTAGTGGTAGTCACACAGCAGTTCTGGGAAATCATGAAGCAGAACCAACAGGACCCTCATCGTACCCTGTCAGGAGTTTAAATGCACGCCGATCAAATTGTACAAACTCCGGAGACGCATTTATATGCACATCGAAATGAACGAAACAGTAAATAGAGGCACCTTATAGAGCAGTTGTGTTGGCTTCGGCATGTCTGCATTTCTGAGGAAGGGAGCGAGGAAATTGAAGAGGTCGACGATCAGCTGTGCGTACATGCCCCATGCTTGCTACACAGAAATGTGGCGATGATGATAATGATGATGACCGTGACGACCATGATGATGATGATGATAATAACTATGTAATAAACTAATGAAACAAACAAAGAGAAGATATATATACATATATATATATATATACATATATATATATATATTATAGTCGAAAAGGCAAGCGAAGATGATGTCTCAACACTCAACAGCCAGCCACAACATGCACTTACTGACCTTCTGATTTTCTGACACAGCCAGCATGCGGCCGATGAAGACACGGTGGGAGATGATTTCGAGCCAGGCAAACGCGAACCCTGGCGCCTTCGACGGTCTCAGGACATGAAGAATGTTGCTGATAGTGACGTTAGCCGACAAATTTTAATAAAAAAATTATAAATCATGATGCATGAGCAGCAACCAGCACAACGATCAATTATCATCTCTCCCTCCCACTCATCACAACACCATCACAGAAGGAAACAGCCACCTGAATGCCTGCAGGATCTGCAAGTTGATGGCGTCAAAGATAACTTCAGGAGCGTTTAATTCAATGAACAGCATTATGAATATGCGATGGTAAGGAAGCTGATGGAACTCTATGTGTCGAATCTCGTGGTCTTGCAGTAACACTCCTGCAACTAAGCCTAGGACCTGAGTAAGTTTATTCACAATTCTTTAAAAAAAAATTAGAATCTGACATCTGATAGTTGATAGGTGGGTGGGTGAGTAGTTGGTGACAGAGAAGCAATGGCAATAGAAAGTTGACATGCCTTATTGAGGAGATTAACTTTGGTGACAGTGTTCGTTGAATCTCCTGAATGCTTGAGTAGGAGCACGATCAGCCTCACGAAGGCATCCAACGTATGAAAACATTGAAATCTCACCCTCGTTGAACTCTGAACATGTTGTCGAACGCGTTTTGTATCATCAATCATTAACCAACTAACAAATAAATAAATAAAATCAATCATACAATAGATAGACAGGCAGATAGACAGAGAGGTTACAAAAATTTATGGTTGATCTACCGACTTGAGTCTAAATTTCCAAATTATATTTTGCTTACATTATATAATTCTATTATTTTGCCATACTTTACTATACTGTAATTCTATTTGGGGGTCATACTACTTATTCTAATCTGCATGTTTTAAATGTTTGTCAAAATTATTTCATGCGTATTTCATTTAATTTAAATAGATTTGAACATATAAATAATTATTATAATGTATCATAAAAGTTAATGATTTATATACTATTAATTCGTTGGTGGGTTTTCATAAATTGCAAATTAAATGGTCAAGTGAATCATTTAACCAGCACTTGATTGTTCTCAGTAACAAGCCTGATTTTTATTTATCAAAACCACGCATCAATTTTTTTAAATTCTGTTTTTCCTTTCTCTACTCGTCTATGGGATTCCTTACCCGCATACGTTAAAAATATCACTTTTCTCATCTAGTTTGGAAGAAGTATTCTTGAAATGACTAGAACTAATTACTTATAACTAATAAGTCTCTCATTCCAATTCAATAGCTTCATTTCGCTTCAATTTATTTATTAATATTACGATTTAAACGTATTATTCGATTTTATTATGATATATTCCTGTTAATCTCGGTCAGGGCGGTTCTACAGGTTCAGGCCTCGGATATCTTAGTGATTTGGTTTACTAGGTGGATTGATGGATAATTCGATCTAGTAAATTTAGATTTTATTTTATTATTTGTTCTGTTCAATCCGCGTTTTGTCACGTTGAATGCATCAAATTCCTCTTTTGTTCATGTTCTTGCAGTATCTTGATATGATGGGCCAACAAGTGAAAACTTCGGCTCTCACTGGTAATGTATTTTACTGAATAAAAGATTTTTTGAATTTGAATTGGGAGATACCTGATTAGGCTCATTGAGAGCTCTGTAGCAGAGGTCGACACACATTTCAGTGCAGAGTCTGAAGAATCTTGTGATGAGTTCATCAGTTTTCAAGATACCATGCAATGACATCTGTCAGTTGTCATCATCATCATCACTCTTCTTAATATCATCATCATCATCATCATCATCTGATCATTCAATTTTATGCATCAGGCAATCGTTATTATTATAAAATTAACCAACAACATATTCCCACACACACAGAAACAAACACAGGCACTAACATACAGACAACATACACAGACACACACACAGACAAACAGACAGAACGAACATGATTGACAAAGGAGCTGAATGCTTTTGAACTATCCCTGCCGGCAGCTGGCTGATGATACAATCCCACCCATTCTCTTAGCAAGTATTCAGTCTTCTCATGCAGACCTGCAGCGTTTTATATCATCAAGCCATTTAACTTTCAGTATACATGGGCATAAATGTTACATAGCATATTTGATAGCAGCCTACAGTCTGTTTGTCACTTGTATGTTATAATCGTAAAAAAAGCCATTGAATGAATTGAATTAGGGCACGATCTATTAGACGCGAGGCAGTAGAATTGTAAGAATAATTTCACAGATGCGTGCCTGGCGGGTCGTTGATTTCTGCCGCCTGACTGATGCCCGAGTACATCATGGCCGATGCTCCGAGGTTCATCCTCTCCATGACGCTGACGTCGCCTGTCTGCTGACGGATCGACTCCAACAGTGCCGGCAAGCTGGTGTGCGCGTGTGTGTTTGTCGTCATCACAATTGCAGGAGGTCGTGAATATTCAATCAGTGGCGAATTATTTAAATTAATACTAAAGCAGGGTGCAGTGTCATAATGATGATGATGATGATCAGATGATAGAGCCAGCGGGTGAAAACTCACGTATCAGGTCCTCTTGATTGCATGGCAGCTCTCTGCAGGGCCTCCAACGTACTACTCAGCTCTCCCTGCCAGTTTTTATGTCATCATCCAAACAATAAGAACAACAACAACAACAATAATAATAATAATAATAATTTAATGTTGTTAACTTCACATCCACCAGCTATATACTATACATACTTACGTACATACATTCATATAAACAGACAATCGATATATATACACAGATTGAATAAAAACAACAGAGCAGAAATAATGAATAAACAAAGTGAGAAAGAACCTCTTGTGCTCTGAAGATGCTCGCCGCATGTTTGTCGTGGCCTTCCAAGAAGAACTTCTGAACGAGTTGCATGGCGAACGGGATGACAGCAAAGTTGGAGTTGGATTCAACCTGCTGTCCCAAGAACTGATCATATTGTGGAAGGATAACGAGTTGGGCTTGCAGAAGTGATTGCACTGCCTCAATGCTGTACCTGATGTCCTCACGGCATTCCATCAGACATCTGTATTTATATGCACTTCTTTTGAAATATCACAGCATCGCCGGCATTCTTCAACGTTCAATTGAATTTTTCAACTTTTCATATGGCAAATTTATCAACTTTGTTCAGTTCATAAAGGAAACTCTTATTCATTTCCATGATGATAATAATAATAATAATAATAATTATATTAATGACTTGTTTAGACATATGTATCCTACTTTGTAACTTGCTTGTTGGTCCACTGTGGCCCATAGATTTGCGGGTTCTGCAGTGACTTGAGTACAAGGAGGTGGCAATCACGGAATCTGGCTGCAAGTTCTGCTGACTCGTGGTTCAACATCAACATCCCTTCCAATAAGTTCTCGACTGCTCTCTGTAAAAAAATGAAGTAACATAAAAATTGCATCTAATCCTTGATCAATAATATTCATTAACAAAACATATAAACCAGCCATTCAAATGTTCATTGGATGAATCAATGAATGAGTGTACCATACAAAAAAGGTCAATTAACCAACCAACCAACCAACCACCTAACAAATGACCCAACAAACCTGCAACAAAGCCATGGCAGAATTGATATCCCTGACAGACGACCTACAGAGGATGATATAGTCTGAAAGCTGTCTGAGGAACGTACTGAAAGGACTGCTGGTGCCGCTAAAAAACGGGATGTTCTGCTCGATGTCCTGAGCCAATTTATCGTACATCTGAATAACATCTTGTGCCGCTAGTGGCTGCTGCTGCTGCTGTAGTTGTTGATGGTGACGTTGATGATGGGTGGTTGTTTCAGTGGCTGGTTACTTCAGTGAATTAAAGCCGAGATACAGAGCAACAGAAAGGTAGAATGAAATGAAAATAACAATTAGAAGAAGAGAAACTAAAGGGAGAGAGAGAGAGAGAGAGAGAGAGAGAGAGAGAGAGAATGCAGTAGTTTAGTACCTGAACAGACTTGTACTGAGGCTGTACGACCTGGGATGGGTGTTCTGCATATACCGGTAAAAAGCCAGGAATGGACCTTGCAAATTCATCATAAACCGACGGCTGGCTGCTTCCTGCACCACCTTCATTCATTGATCAATCAATCAATCATTTATTCAATCAACCAAAGTATCATTCAATTAATCAGCTGGTCAACCACAGCAGGCAGACACCATCAAGCAATCTCAGTTTGAAGATAACCGACCGATCTTCAATCTTATTTCCTCTGGTATTCGTTCCTGTGCAACGAGGGCTGCCTGGTCGTAGTAGCATCTGCCTTCACTGCGGGCAACTCGGCGAGCTTCGTAATCCTTCAACATCATCATACAATCGTTCTCAAGTCAGCCAGTTTAGATCACTTGATCAACTTTTCATCACCATCGTCAATGTCGTCATCATTATCACAAGATCGCCTCAATGAAGCAACAAAATGATCATCGTGACGCACGAGTTGAATCATCATTGAGCAAACATTCATCAAAAAAATGACACGACTGTGACAGACACGACAGTCTGTCCGGCCGGCCGGCGAGGAAACTAACAGACGCAAGCCTCTTATCAATCTCCGGAATGGCACGGTCGATGGCGGTCTTCTGGAGGAACACAGTGGCCAACTCCGCATTGTCCTGAGCGATGATCTGCGAGGCATGGTCTATTAACTCCTTCTGCTGAGCGCTGGGCACCTGCAACGGAGGAGAGAGCATCAATATCGATTACAACATCTGTCTTCTTACCAACCAACCATCCATCCATGCATCCAGCACATTCATCAATCGTTCAGATAGGAGTTCGTGTCGGTGACAGCGAACAAAACAAAATAAAGTAAAGAACCCGAAGTGCGGCAGATAGCATGGTCTTCAAGTTGTTTGAGATGCTGATCAGGATTGGTTCGTGGCACGTTATGAGCGCCATTCCACCCGTCATGAACCTCACAAAACTGTGGGCAGCCGTCCGCAGTCGGTTCTCATCTGGGTCCAGTGCAAAGTCCTGTTCGTTCGTTCAGCCATCAATCAATCAACATGCAATCACCTCTCAAATGTGCACACTAACAAAACATGTGGCATGCATGAATCTAACATTTAGATCACTCATTCAACCAACTAAACAGTCAGCCAACCTTCTTGACAATTATTTCAGAAGTTTTGAGAGCAATGGTGATGGCACGTTCAATAGCTGGAGAGAGCAATTCCTGGACAGCCCTCTCAATTGCAGGCCTCACATATTGCTTCAGTTGTGGTTGCAGATGGAATAAACTGATCTGATGATTCGAGATAATTGCAGGGATATGCATATGCACAATGCATGAACAAAGTTGGCAAATCAATTGACTATTATAACAACAAACTGTTATCAACAACCAATCAGTCAGAACACCGAGATGAAGAAAGTAGAGCCCCAAGCAGAGATTTTTCCAAACTGCAACAGCCGGCACCCGCACTGCTCATTATCAGCACCGCACCGCGCCCACGAAAAGGCAACCTGAACCGGCCGTCTTAATCTCATTTTTAAAAATAGATGATGGCAATAGCAGAGAACAACTTATCTACAACATAATTATAAACAGAAGAATTTAATAATTTTCTAATTTAATAATTGAAATAGCATCGATCAGAACAATGAGCACAAAATGAATGACGACGAGGAACTAAAACGAGCTATTTATTTATTTAATATTTATGAAGATGTCGTTACTATAATTATATATATATAATTGATTCTGATTATTATCACATTTCTATTTGGTTTTTTTTTAAACTTTTTGTTCAACATTATTGTAGTAACCATACAAATGGACTTCCGGTTTCTTTGAAATAAAATTTCATGTTTTGTTATTTATTGGATTAAGACTGACATTTACATACACCTACATGTGTGTATGTATGAACGTGTATACATTGAACTAACTTTCTTTATTCAAACCTGCTGAAGTAATTAGTAGAAGTTGCCTGCCTGGTTTTATCAACGTAGATCCAGAGAGACTCAGCCACGGTCATTAAATACACACACACATACTCACACATGTACATATATGCAAAAAAATGGAAAAACAAAATTTTTTTATTCTGAAAATTATAAAATTTAATTTTGCGGGCGGTTTTTGAAAAACGCGCTTGAATTCGCATCCGCGGCAAACCGCACAGACAAAATCTGCAGACCGCAAAATCCGCGGAGGTTTGAAAATTTGTTTGAACGCGCAAGGCGGATATCCGCTTGGGACTCTAGAAGAAAGAAATGTGGAACCAACTGCCGGCTCATTTATGACAATGTGGTGGGACAATCCGGTTAAAGTGAGAGCGTTGATCTCGTTGTAGCCATACTGGGGCATCTGAGGGACATCCACCATGGAACCAGAGGAGGCTGTCGTTCCCCCTACTCCTCCGGCCACCACTCCCATCTGCTGTGACCCTGCAGCAGACATCAACGAGGGAATGTTGGCAACTGCGGGCATCGGCATGTTGATCTCCAAACTTTCTTCTGGCAGGGGTGGAGTGATGTCGGGAACTTTTGGGTGCTGCTGCTGATGGTGTTTGGAAGACGGAGATAGTTGGTGATCAATCGTTTCCATGCGTGAGGTATCCTTCAAATAGTTTCCTGATTCTAAATCCTGGTGAATATGTATACATACATATATATGTGTGTGTGTGTGTTTATTTTACTCGTACATACTGTTACGTACCTGTGTATACAATCAATACAACTGAATGAGTGAATACAGCAAAATGTATAACTAAATGATATTTTGATTGAGATCAGCAGAAGAGGAAAGAGGAAGGAGAGGAAGAATAAGAAGGAACGAACGTGAACGTCGATTTGGGGATTCTTGCAAAGCACCTTCGATTCAAACTTCAAGGTTGAGTTCCAGGTCAGTCTCGTGATGAAGTTTGATAAGACAATTCATTATTCCCATAGTCCAAGGGTTGGGCGGCTTAAAAACCTTCATTAAGTGATTAGATTTCAATCAATATACATTTTTATCCATTTCATATTTTCTTAATTAACTGAAAACTTAATGCGGGGAAATTAAATAAGGTAGAAGAAAATAAATGAAAAAAGTTTTTTCATTAACTTACTCGGCTCTTGACAGCTGATTCAAGAACTTTTGCAACAAACGGTATTACGTAAAGGAGCTCGTCGGCACCTTTCACGTAAGCCTCATAAATCAATGATTTCAAGTCAATGTCGATATGTAGTATAGGTTTGTTCTTCGCCAACATCAACATTCCCAGCCAGTGACCGAGATTTTTTAGGAGGGTGCGATCAGAGAAGTTGGCCACACCTTTGTCGCTACGCAGCAATACCTATGTGTGTGTTTGTTTGTTTGCTTGTATATGTATATTATTAATGTTATTATTATTGAGTATTTGTAAGCGTTTTTTTTTCAAGTTTCTCAAGAGGGCAGCAAGTCTATACATTGGATTAGAAGGAGACCTTGTTGCATACAGTATTGTATAAATTCCACTGAATTGTTGGCACTGACTAATTTAATGTTTGTACTAGAAATTTATGGATATTGTCCAATTCATTAAAATTATTATCCAAATTTAAGTAGAATGATCATAGCAGACTTTAATGTTTCGATAGGTTTCAGCAACGACCATCTTGAGGAAGGAAGTTCTCTTGAGTTGCTCAATGAAGTTGGCATAAAGTAAATGGAAGTTTGGTTCAACACTGGCTCGCTTCATGACGAGGTACTGGGCCACCCAAGGCATGTACTCTTCACTCACTTGTTCATTCATCTCAAGTGCCTACGTGTTTGTTTGCTTGCTTATTCATTTTTTACTATTTCACGAATCAATATGAAAATGAATATACACAGAGTGAAATGAAATGAGGGAGAGTTGAAGTTTAAGAGCAACCATCACAAACCTTCTGTTCCATGTTAGCCTGTGAAAGGTTGTTGAATATGAAGAAGACCTTATCCTGCAATGATTCCACAGGCACCAATATGTTATCTAGGCCCTCCTTGTTCGCCAGCAGCGTGTCAATGTTCGTCGCATTGGCTATTGAGTTCTGAAAGGGTGTCATTCATAGTTGCATGTGCAATCGTGATGATGATGATGGTGATGTTCAAGCGAGATGACGACGGTGGTAATATTTTGTAACAAAGAGCTTCACACACAACTCTGCAGTCACGGAAACATGGATGATTTGAAATAATTCATAACGAATACAGAGAGACAGGTATGAAATCAACCTCGCGTACGAACAAAAAACAATTTAAAACAAACAACCAACCAACCCTAACAGCCCCCGGTGGTCTGGAAATTGCTCCGTGACTACTTGAACTCTGTGTTGTCGTCATCGTGCTTGACACTGCTGCAATGGAGATGGCTGACGTGGTGGTGGTGCTGCTGATGACGGCACTCGTGACCGTCGTGGAGGGAGCGATGGAGTACGGCGGGTCCATCGACTGAGCTCCATATGTTATATACTGCGGGCATCCAATAACAACATTATTTCTCTCATCGCTCTTTAATGTTATTACTAATAAACAATGAATGAACCTCTTTAAGTTTAGATGGGAAGTCATTGAAATGTGGCACTGATGCGAGAAACTGACAATATTGTGAGTAATCTTTCAACCTGTTTGCACGTTCAGTGTTGCCGCTCGTCGTGACTTCCACATGCAATCAACATCTTCAGACTCACACAATTAGACAGACAAAGACACACACACACGCACGCACACACAAATGCAAACACAATTAGACAGACAAAGACACACACACACACACACACGCACTTGGTTTTGAATCTATCAAGAGCTGTGAGACCAAAGAGATACATTTTGCCTCCTTGCTGTTTCTTGACAGCTTCCAGAACATAACGCAGTGCAACTCCAAGAGCCATGTAGCTGCTTTCATCAAGTTGACATTCAATTTAATACATGCCAGCCATGCACACTTCCATATACATACATACATACATACATACACACACATATATATTTACATATATATATATATATATATATATATATATATATATAAACCCGCACTGGAGACTTATAATAAAATGAAGATCAAATTGCACGAGTTTGTTTAAATTGAAATTACTAAAACAACTCACAGTAGAAATTGAACAAACAAAACATTTAATGAAAAAATTGAAAACTTATAACTGGCACCTCCAGCATTTGTTATTATTCTTCATCTATAAAAGTGAGCTGGCATCTTTACGAAATAAAATACTTCTGTTATCCATTCAAAACATTTTTACATTGATATTGGCTTATTTAAATTTTTATGCTTCAAAAAGTTTAAATTAGTTGACATTTGTAACGTGTGTGTGCAGCATCTATCAATCATTGCTATGCCAGACTCATAACGTGGATTCCAATGTTAACTAGGTCCTTACGCACCGGTCGTCCAGCACAGCGCATCACTTTAAAAAATTCAAATCGTTGCGACAGACAGCCGAACGAACGCACCTCACTAATCCCTGATCGATGATTCCACCGAACAGGATGGCAGTTGTCGTCAGCTCCTTCTCAGGGTACTGCACGAAGAATCGGTACTCTTCAAAAAGATTGCGCATCATGCAAGAATATATGTCCTGATGAATGAATGAATGAATGATCGAATGAATGAATGGTTGTTGGATCGTTCGTTAATATAAATCTGACGCTAATCATTTCCTCCTAATCAAGGGATTAAATATTTGATGCAAATTTGAATTCATGAACAGGTGAACAAATGAGTGTGTGGACAGACAGACAGACAGACAGATAGAAAGGTACATAATAGAAACAAACATTCTCTCTGGGGTTAGTTGAATTTTTAAAGTTTTTCAACAATTCCAACGCTTCCTCAACTGACAATGGGTTGCTCACAGAACTCGATCCTAATAAATAAATTTTTTTTGTTTTTATTATTTTTAAAAAAATCAGGATCAGAAACTGTTTAAACATGAAAAGTACTGAAAATAAAATAAAGTAATGGTGTAAGGCAGCAAATAAATAAAGTAGCTTATTGATGGACATAGTGAGTCAGTGAGGAGATCGATAAGTGGAAAAAAACTAGATTGAGTAGATGATAACAAATGATGAATCATGTGCTAAAAAAATTAGTTCTAAAAAAAAAGAAAGATGAAAAAGAAGACGTGTTGAGACGGCACCTGAATTATTATAAATGCGCTGAAAATAGAGATTCGCTTCATCTTCTATGTCTTTCGGGAACTGTTGGGCAGGTATGCTTGTGGGGTCCATGTTTTGCTGCTGCTGCTGACCAACTCCAGCTGAGGTCGCTGCTGTATTGTTTAATGCAATTTGGTTGCAGTTCTCCTTCATAATAAAAGGAATGTGATTATTTTTTTACATAAACTCAAAAAGCAGCGCGATTATGTGTTCACATTCTCAATTTCAATTATCATCGTCGCATCATTTCCTAACTAAGCCTGTTGTCGATCCTTTGACTGAGGGCAACTTGAGAGCTGAGGACATTCAAAGCTGGTGCTCCTCTGTTGGAATGCATGGCGCCAAATGCACCTGCCATCCCACTGACGGATGACACGCCCAACATGGAAGGATTGATTGCTCCCTGAGTGGCTAGGGCTTGAGTGTTGAGTGCTTGAGCTCCTAAGCCGCTGTACCCATTTGTAATGGAACTATGCAGGTTCAAACCTAAGCGCAAATTAATATGGGGGATTGAATTTAAAATGTATTAAATGTATCTGGAGAGCGAGAAGTATATCTACAATTCAAATTATTAATGCATAAAACAAGACAAGAAGTTAGATTAGAAAATCAACAGTGCAGAAAACTCAGTGATAATTATTAAATATATACATATATTTATATATTAACACACATACCTAGATAGAGCAAAAACTACCTTGCAACTGTGAACTGATACCCTGATTTGCAGCATTGTACATCTGTGAGAGGGAGGCCACCGGTCCCATGGACGCGGGCATCATGGCGAATGCCTTAGCGGGAGAGCCGGCAGGAGGGAGGGCCCGATTGAAGTGGGCATGTGGGTTCATAGGATGGTAGCCAGAGTTTAAGTTCAACAAATTTGAGACGTGGTCAGCCTAATGAATGACGTTTGTTGAAAGATGTGATGAAGTTGATTAGTTAATTGATCGGAGAGTATGATCGGCATAATAAATGATAGGACCATCCTCCATCGCAATCATAACAAGGCCACCCAGCACCACGAAGTATTCAATCAATGTTATCAACTCTCTTTAATTAATGTGCAATATGAAATTTTTGAAATAATTTTTGAAACTTAATTAGGAACTATTCACGTATTTAAGACTAAAAATATTGCGCGCCAATCTTACCTATAAACGACAGCCTAGATGTAACAGAACTATGATAATGATAACAGTTAAGATGAAACTTTCTAGATATCTGATATGAAATATGAAGGTGGTTAGTGTGCGGGCGTGCATCTTAATAAGATCAGTAATAATGCCAATAACGATAAATAAAATATTATTACACCAAGCAATTACAAACAAACACACAAACACACACACACACACAGTATATATAAATAAATATTGGATTAAAACTGTCAGAAATGCAATTACTGATAAAAATCAGAGCATGTTCCGCGTTAGTTAACATCCTGCTTAACTTTTCGATTTTTCAAACGTAATTCATTCTCAAGTTTCTTGAGATCAAAACCAAAATTTGTATTTTATGCAAGATAGAACAAAAAACTTTTTTCGATATTCCTATACCATCTTCGGTATTCGAATTGATACGTTGTGTATGCAGTCAGATGTAAACACAGCGTCTCTACTTTATTGATCCCTTGTTTGTTCGAAGTGAATGAATTCTTAACGCTCATTCAATTAGTTTTACAATCTTCAACTTCGCCCAATATAACACTTTTACGAGTTTTCATTATGGATGATTCCCCAGTTTCTAAATTAATTTATTAGCAGGAAGAATTCCAGTTGCCCGTCGTTGAATATTTATTGTAGGATATTTATCATAGGATCGGATGTTAATTATTATTTACGTAAATAAAAAAAATAAATAAACATATGTACACGTGTATGTATATAGATGCATATATAGCATGTGTGTGTGTGTGTGTGTGTGTGTGTGTGTGTGTGTGTGTGTGTGTGTGTGTGTGCATGAACATAAGTTGTGCGACCAGGCAAAGTGCATTGGTGAGGCATAAGGAATAGTTTGTGCATGTATGCCTGCATATTCTTCATTGGACGACACATTACATTCAAAGAATGCCACATGTCATCTAACTAAGTATGATCCACTTAAATAGCGGCGACCTAATTAATTAAGTAGGACCTGGTGATCGAGACAGGCCAACAACTTATAATCTCACCCACCCAGCTGGGAGGAGGAGTTTCAAAGTTTGGGAATTGAATGTCTTGGTTCTGCTGCATTTGCATTTGATGTTGCACTGGTGCATGTTGTTGTTGTTTTTGAGGTATAAAATGCTGCTGTTGATGTTGCTGCGGCTGTTGGTCTACATGTTGAGGGACACTTGAAAAATGAGGCTGCTGTTGCAATTTTAGCTGATTGTGCCTTTTGTGCTGCTGATGAATACAAAATAATTTTTCATTCATCAACGTTTCACTTATTTAATTAATAATAAACATTGCAAGAATATTTGTAAGCACAGAAACAACAAAGAAAGTACAAACAGCGTTGGTGATCATTCCAGGACCCTGCTGCTGCTGCTGTTGTTGCTGCTGCTGTATTGGTCCACCTCTGTTCACCAACGTTGGTTGCTGCTGCTGATGTAGAACTTGTTTGGACTTGATATTCTGCAAGAGCTTCATGATGGACTCTTGAACCTCACTTGAAAACTGGCGATTGCTGATGAAATAGAATGAATGAAGCATGGAAGACGTGATGTATTATAATTATTATGCACGGGCCCTATTCACGTGCGTAGATGCATCAATCAACATCATATGATAAGCAGCAACCTGATGACGTGCTGGAGGCAGGAGAGGATGCTGGTAACAACTTCGATTGGCAGCTGTTGATTCTTGCCAAGAGTTGCAGCTACCACGTTTTCATCTTTGTTCACCAGCAGATGTGCTCCTCTGTAACTCACAAAGTTCACCAACTCCTCCACGAAAGGTTCCTAAGTGGGCAAACACTCAGTCTTAATATCTACTGAGCACAAGTTGTACGGAACAATGAAAATATATAAAAGGTACAAAAAGACAAAGAGATAGATATGCAGATAGATAGAATGAAAGCAAGAAAAATAGAAAGATAGATATAGAGAGAGAGGGAGAGAGAGAGAGAAACAGACCCTAACCCCATGCTCTTTAATGCGGTCGTTGATCCACTTATCCAACTTCAAGTACTCCCTGCGTGACGCCAAGCAAGCCAGGTCAATGACAAACGGGAAGGGCGAGCCATTCAGTAAGTGCAATATGATCTGCAAGCATTTCAGCAACTTATACAATGGAGGTGGCTTCAAATTGAAAATAATACTGATTGACGATAATAATGCTGGTAAAGATGATTGAAGTTATTAGGATGGTTTCACATATGAACAGAAAAGTAGCATACAACAAACAAATAACTGACTCCAACCTCAACCTTAACCCAACAAACAAACCAACCAACCAACCAACCAACCAACCAACCAACCGACCGACCGACCAACCAACCAACCAACCAACCAACCAACCGACCATCCAACCAACCGACCTTGAGGTCATGGGAGACATCGAGAATACGAGCCAACCTGGCGTGATCATGCTGATCCCTCATGTACCAGTCGGCCATGCACCTCAGGACCATGGTCCTAATAGTTGGAGACTGGCCGCCCTGCACATCCCATGTGAACTGCATGATTGGCGCTGAGTTCGGGTGGTTGCTGAGGAAGATTGGAATCAAGTTGCAAATCATTTCTTGCTTCAAATTGTTCCAGCAACTCTGTTGTTTAAAAAACGACGGTTTGTCTGTATATAGATATAAATACATATCAATCAATCAATCAATCAATCAATCAATCAATCAATCAATCAATCAATCAATCAATCAATCAATCAATCAATCAATCAATCAATCAATCAATCAATCAATCAATCAATCAATCAATCAATCAATCAATCAATCAATCAATCAATCAATCAATCAATCAATCAATCAATCAATCAATCAATCAATCAATCAATCAATCAATCAATCAATCAATCAATCAATCAATCAATCAATCAATCAATCAATCAGCCAATCAATCATACTAACCGATTGCAAAATGCCAAGCAGTAGTTGATCAGGACAGTGGGACATTGGATTTTTCAGGAGATCGTGAACTTGCTGGTGGAAGCCAACCTCAGACAGTTGCAGCAGCAAGTTTATGAGGTCCATAGACTTCCTACGTAACAGTGTGAACGAGCAAAAGGTGATTCCGTAGTGATGCAGAAATGACGATGTTGATGACAGAGACGATGCGAAATGAGAATTTAGCAATAGCAAGCATTCATTCGCAACAATTCTTCAACAATTTATCGATGGGATGAACGTCATTCGACCCATCAGAAGCACCAACCAAGTTACGATATCCCTGTTCTTATCATCCAGAGTCAACTTGAGGCACGTCGTATCAACTTGTGTGAATGCATAATTGGCCAGGCAGAAAACATCCGGGTGCTTCAGGGAGCACGTTATCCAAGATAGCTGTCATTCAGTTCATAATAAACTGGCAATTCATTTCCATCCATCTTCATCATCATTACATAAACAAACCTAATTCTAAGACTTAACAATAATGATACAGACATGCAACAAAACGAATACATACACAGGCACACAGACACACACACACACAGACACCTGTCCTTCTTTATTCTTCCAGTTTCCATAGAGAAATTCGATAGGAAAGACATTACTATCTGTGACAGCAGCAAGATGTAATGCCTTTATGAGGTTTTCGAATCCATGCTTATTACTTATGTAGAAGCCCGTGTGATCCAACTCCTTTGTAACCTCCTTCCAAGACAGACTTGGTGCCTTAATGGGGGACATTTAAAATTCTCATCATTATGAAGGAAGTGATGAGACTAAATTTCGAAACTAAATACAGTGAAGTGGAAGATGATGTTGGTGTAAAAATAATGGTGGAAATTCAATTGGAGGAAATAAACAACCGACCAATTCTCTGGTGCAGTGCACAAAGATTTCAACGTTCCATGACGTTGGCGTGTCGTGGTTGTTGTCCTTCGCCACATCATTGTAGTTCAGGCCAACAAAGGCATTCTGTTTGTTACCAATCGGTCAGTCAACTAAACAAACGAATCACTCAACTAAATGAATGAACCAACAAAAGCAATGAATCAGTTAGCAGGACATTAAACAAAAGTGACAGAGACCTGTCCTGTTAGTGGATCCGTGAAGCCGGCAGGCACCCTGGCCATGAAGCCAAGAACTCTGGCCACTGACATCGGTGTCAAGTTCTTCACGCCAAATGTTGTTAAGATGCTCTTGCATTGTTCTTTACTGTTTGCATTTGTTTAGAGTTTTGCACAACAGAGCCATAATCATCCTCATTTGCCATTCATCCACTATTCCCTCTAAGTATTCACTTATCCGTCCATGCATATGTCCATTCATCCATTCATTCATTCATTCATGCATCAGCTGACCTTCGTGTGAATGAATATCCAACCTCATGAAGAGTATCAACCAGGCTGGCGGCCATCTTGAAATTATTCAAAACATTCATTACTCACTTATGCCTACCTACTATCTCCTCCATCTCCATGAATATCCTCACCACATGAACAGACATACAAATATGAATCTCCACAAATAATTACTAATTTTTAACTAATAATTCTTAATTTACTACTATACATATACATACATACATATATAAATACATTAAACATTTTTTATTTCACACAATCAAATAAAAACAAAAACCGAATCAATGGAATTAAATGATCTTTGTATATATGAAGCATATGAAAATAATTTAAAAATAAAATTTAAAAAAAAATAATTTAAAAATAAAATTTAAAAAAAGTAAATAAGAACAGAAAAAAATGATAAAACCATAGGAGGTGTGATTTCAAATGTCGTCAGTAATTTGATGTTTATGTCTGACGAGAACTGTGTTAGGAAAGGAGCTAATATAACAGGAACACTGTCTTGTGGGTAGCCTGCGTGGAATATTTGAAATATTCAACAGATTGGATGATCAAATTATTACACCATTGCTCCGAACAATATAACATCATAGCATGCATACATGCATACATATATACAATTTTAATTGAATTTTAACTAATACAATTGAAAATTTTAAACTTATCACCCAAAGGCTAAATATCATCAATAAACATGATGCAATGGTCCTTCTATTACAAGCTGCTTTTTTGCCTCGTCTTGTTTATTTTTTGAGAACATCCCCTCTGTTGGATGTTTCGATCCTAAATAGTTTTGACGATCACCTCCGTGACGCATCCCAGTCCATCTTCAACATAAAGCTCGGTCAAAAAAATTGGTTGCAGGGGACGCTGCCTATATGTGTTGGTGGCCTGGGTTTGGGTTCCGCGGCTGAGCTGGCACCTTCTGCCTTTTTGGCTTCTGCTGCTGCCACGGTGGCCCTCCAGGATCTGATGTTGCCGAGGAATGGGATTTATGTCGATAACTTCAGAATGCAAGTATACGATATGTGGCACGCCACCAACGGAGATGTGGTTGCGCTCGAAAACCCCTTGCAAAAACACTGGATTGCCCCCTGTCTTAATAGATCAGTTGATCGATGGCTGCAACTGAATGGCTCTACTTTTGACAAGTCTAGAATTATGGCTGTCAAAAGTGAGTTGGGCTCCGCCTGGTTGAGAGCGCTACCCAACACTTCCTGCGGCAATAGATTGGATGACTCCTGTGTTCGCTGGTATCCCGGTTATAAGAGAACACATGGGTTTGATAGAGGAAGGAGCCTTTAGGCCTGATAGTTACACTATCACCCCATGGGCTCAGGGACGGTCCCTGGCTTGGGACGTTACCTTACCCCACACTATGGCTGACCGATATATCGGCTACACTTCAGTTGAGGCGGGCACTGCTGCCCTTAAAGCATCCGATTTCAAAAATGAAAAATACGTTTCATTAAACAATTTTAGCAAAATATTTCAACCCATTTGCATTGAAACGTTCGGACCAACAGATAAGCACACATCATTATTTATTAACGAATTAACAAGAAAAATAGTTAATATAACGGGTGATCCTAACGAAGGCAATTATTTAAAACAAACTCTTTCACTTTTATTACAAAAATTTAATTCCTTTTGCATTCTGGATGGAGCTGCTAGATACCTGACTGTGCGAGACCAGGGACATAGATAAAAGTTGAACTCGGAAACGATTGCATGCCTAACCATGGCTTGTTCATCAAAACGGGTTCATACATACATACATACATACATACATACATACATACATACATACATACATACATACATACATACATACATACATACATACATACATGCATACAAACATACATAACAACCTTGTTTGAGAGTCTTGAAAAAAAGTTCCTTTTGTTCAAAAGACAGTCCGATGGCTTCTCTGAACGAGTCAACTTGTAACTTGGATACAAAAAGGTGCAACAACTCGATAGGGGCGTCCCCGAGACCACCTTCTACTGGACCAGATAGATTTCGAGACTCTGTTGTATCAATACATCATTTACACTGCACTAAGTAATGAATCTATAGTATGTACAGTCAGTAACAAGCAACATTTTAGAGGCCAAAATTCAATAATTGTTTGAAAAATTATTTCTCTTGACTATTCACCAGATTCAATGAGGTTGTTGATCAGTTGAAGAAATTTCTGCTTGAGGAACTGGCAAGCAAATTTCTTGGTAGTTTCGCTGGTTGAATGGTACAAAGCAATTCCAAGAGCAACGTCCTGAACCAAACTTAATTTGAGAGTCTTGCTGATCTGGTGCAACAGATGACTAGTCACTTTGAAATTCTGCATATAAATTAAAGTAAAGGGAATACAATCTCCTCAAAATTAATAAAGAACACATAAATACGATAGTGTAAATAAATGAAAAATTATAAATTTTGAAGCAATACGAACATTTTGTTGTAGTGGTTTGTCAACAGCAAAACAAAGGTTTGAAATAAAATTCGGTTTGCAGATAAATGTGGAAAACTCTTGTGATAAAAATTGGATCTGGTGTAAAAATTTACATAAATAATTTAATAAAAATGGAAAACAATGTAAATATGAACATCTAACCTAACTAAATCAATCTGTCATTTAATTATGAAAATAATAACATCATGAAATAAACAAATATACATAAAAAAGCTTTTGAACCTGGAAAGTGTCTTTTCCAGTTCGATTTTCACCTGAAAAGTCAATAGATGAAAAAAGACAACGAATTAAATGTCGTTCAGCTTCTGGTCCAAATTCAGTGACAAGCTAAATAATTTTTTATGAAATAAAACTTAAATTGAAAGAAAAATCATCCAAAAATAATTTATTTATAATTATATGAAATCAATTCATTTAAAATTTAAATGTCTGTCATCTATTATTTGCCCAATTTATAAACCTTTACTGATTAATTTAACAATTTTAAATTAGAAATATTATAAATTAAACTATAATAATAAATAAAATAAATATTATAAAACATGAGGTCTTCAATTCAAAAACTCAATGAAACCTATTAAAACAAAAAGACAATGTCAACAAGCAATTCAAACACCTCTACTAACATTATTAATTTCGTTTATGTTGGTTTTATAATTTCGCTTAGACAAATTAGTGAGAGCGTATTTTATCTGTGATAGAGCAAAAGAGAACGAATCCAAATTCATAATGTACACTTTAAGAAATAACGAAAGCCCCAATATTATTTGGAACTTTCTGGAAACGCTCGTTTAAGTAAGTTTGTTGGTAGCAGTAGCAAAAATAATGGCAGCAGTCAAATAAGAAGGGCGACGACACTACTAAGAATTTCATAATTAGGCCGAAAGTGTAAAAACGAGTCAATGTGATAAGAAAAACCTCGCCATACTGCGAAGTTAATTAATAATACAAATATATTTTTGCGTGTATTTAACAGTCTAAATTAAAAAAACAAGAACAACTAAAAACTCAATCCAAAACTGCAGCTTTCAACCGGATGTAGAAGTTTGCATTGATTACATCAAAGAACAGAAAATTCACCAAGGAAAAATTTTCCGACTTTCGATCATTTCATCATTGCCTAGCAATCTGCAGGCGTTCTATCATCACACAGTTCAGTTGCTCGTTTTCTGGTCATTCAGTTCAGTTGAAACATCTTATCGATTGACAAACTAGCTTAATTCATCATATAACATCGTCACATTCCACAAAAATCGAGCTATTGTTTGTGTTCAGCAATACATAACTATTCTGTCGATTCAGATACATATATATCAAAACCGTCGGTATTTTTATTACCAAATTTTACATTTTCATGCTCAAAAGATTGAGTACTACATGAATCGATCAAAAAATTACTAGCTACTAGCTTTTTTGCTTATTACTTCAATTTTTAGTAGATTTTTTCGCGTAAGTACAAACACTACGATTAAAATTGTTACGACACGATCCTTTTTTATGACATGCACAATTCATCATTCTATTCAAAATAGTAATAAAAGAAGAAAAAAAAGCATCACAGCTCAGCGCGGGTATTGACAAGAGGTTCCAAAAGAAAGAATTACGCTGTGCGCCTAAACCTTTTAGAGACCCTTGTTGTAGAACAAAATTTCTTCATTACTTGAATTTTGTATTTCATCTTCCAGTTGACTTTTTGAAATCTGCAAGTTTATCGTAAAGAGACATCAATTTGATTTCTCAAGGCTTTTAATCAACGAATAAAGTTAGTTTACCGAAGAAATTTGCGGAAAAAGAGCGATGGCAATGGGCAGCGCCAAGGCAAATGATAAGGTGGTGACTGAGGCATTGATAGGAAGATGGAGACGAGGTCTTCGAATTAATAGCTGGGTCCTGTACGAACGAACGAGTTATCAAGCTATCTAAATAAATTAAGATGATTTTTAAAAATGAAAAACTGAAAAAAATTTCACTTTTCAGCAAAGGTCATAACCAAAGCTGGAATGAGCAAAAGGGGAGCAGGAAGAAACATTCTAGTGATGGCAGTGTCGATTAACGCCTGTTCAAAAATTTAAATCTACGTAGAAATAAGCTTTTACCAATATATAAAACTACCACCAATCAATCAAACAACTTTTAAACCAAACCTGCCTAGCAGCAACTTTCGAGGTGCCAATAACTTTGTTTTGGGAATCAAAAACCTCAATGCCATCGTGAAGTTCGTTGTTCCGCATCAGCACAACGTTGCATGTGCTGGCAGTTGCTTCACGAGTTCATTCGGTTTATTTAATATGATATTCACCAACCAAACTTCAGTTTAAAAACATCGCAAATATTACTTAAAATATATAGTAAAAATTTGTCTATTGTTGAAACATAACCAACGAACCAACAGCCGGGAAGGGAACAAACTTTTGAACAATGAGCTTCATAGAAGGCGTAAGACCTGATGTCTTCTTTATCATTAAACTTAAGCCTACCTTTGTTTCAGAGTCAAGTAAATTTAAATAAATTAATCATTAAATTCAACAAGGAGTGCTGTGTTAAACTACTAACAGCAATTGAAACAGCACTTGTCACAGCTCCAACGTAACCAATGATGAATTTAGAGACGGTGCTTTGCTGAGGATCAAACATTCATTAGCATGCTCAATTCTACGAGGACAAAAATATAAAAAATAAATCAATTAATTAATTAAAAATAAACCTTTGTGGCATTTCTGTTGGAGTAATTAACGCATGCATTGTGACTCTGATTCAACCATTGCCAGAAAACAGTTTGTTTCAAAGTTGGATTAGGCAGCAACAGACCAACAACCTGAAATTGAACAAAACAAGAAAAAACAGAATCTGCTGTGATGTGTCAATGCGAAAAGCTATAAAAATTGAAATAAAACTTACAATTGGTGAACCAAATGGAACAAAACCTAAATTTTAAAAATATAATACAGTATATATTTACACTATTTGTTGCACAAATTTAGATGAACACTGTTTACAAAAATTTAAAGATCTGATTATCTGATGATGAAAACCAACCTGACATCCTGAATGGCATTGGGATAATTTGGTTTGTATCAGGGTGAATTATAGCCTTTCAATATAAGTTTTTGTTAGATTTTATATATTTCATAATGTTAATCCATTACGTTTTTATGCAAGAATCTATTATTAATATATTATATACCAACTTGTTTAATTTTCTGGGCTTCCCATAAATCTTTATCTGTTGTTCCTTTTGGTAACTTGCCACCTTTGTATAATTCCAATAGGTCAATGCTTTCTTGTAGTCTTTTCTACTTGTATCAATATGATCTTGATAGCATATATCATATGTAATTAATGTAATATAGAAGAATGGTATATAACCTTCGATACGAACAGTGTACGTGGGTCAGTCACATTAAGAAAATGCAATAAGCGGCCTTTGAAGTTAGACTTGAAAAACAATTAAATTAAATGTTTTATAAGCTGATGAAATTAAAATAATTTTTAAAATAAAATTAGATACCAACTTGATCAAACCTTGATGCATCCAGTCTAAACTTGGGATAATTATCACCATTCATTTTTTTGGTTGACTTTAGAATAGATTTTTTAATTTGTCAAAAAATCTATTTTCTTCTTCTGATAATGAAAAAAATAAGTAAATAACAGAACTGATTAAAACTAAATCAAATAATGAAATAAAAATGACTAGCTAACAAATTAAAACATGAATGAAAATGACATTTTATTTTAAGCTTTCATTTCAAAACATACAGTTACTGAGTTAGACTGTTAGATACAGGGTTCAAAGTACCACTTAAAAATTACAATGTATTTAAAAGTTATCAAATCTCAAATCTAAGGCAGTTGCAAACTGTGATACTTATTTTAAATTTATTAAATAATAGCGAAACAAAGTATAAAACATATTTTGTCAAAATACAGTTTTTGTCATTCTTCACAAATTACATGATCGCATTGCATTGTATTGCATTGCAGATTCGTAAAGCGCCTCTATTGAGCTATCTTCAGAGGCGCTAATTAAGCTTCGTTTTGTTGAAATAATGATGTTTCAAGCTGGCTCTAAAATTCTAAAGATGTCAGAGTTGACTTTTAAATCAATCGGCAATGAGTTACTTTCTTGCACCAAAATGTGATGCTTTGAAGTTTTGAACGGAGGACAAACCACCAAACCACATCTCATCTCCGATGCCAAATTTAACATTTTCTTTTTAAATAAGTCGATGCTCTTCCATCCAGACAGTTTCTTGGTAATCTCGGAGACGGCAAAGTGGTTTTTCCAGAAATATTTATTTATAGTCAACAGTTTAAAGAGACTCATAAGCTCCACCCACGGTGCAACTAATGAACTAAATACAGCCTCAATCAATCAATCAATCAATTAGCTTATAAAGCGCTATTTCCGCGATGTAGGCATGTTTGTGTATAGCTACGAAAATGAAAATTTACTTAAAAACTAAATTATTGTATCTGACACGAAAATTTGTACAGAAACAAAAACGAAAGAATAAATGACAATGTAAAAATTTAAACATTGATTGAAAGAGTTTATTCTAATTATATGGTATGGGCAATTCGTTGCGAAATCGTTGGAGGAAATGGTGTCAACAGTAGTTATTTTACATCATGGTAGTTAATCAGCCGGTATAAAGGTTATATTCAATTCCTATCAAATAAATTTGACAAAATATACACAGGCAGAACTAAACAAAGAAATAGACATATAGTTATAATACATTTATAATGTTGTATTTACACATTCAAATTGTACAATTTTGTTATGGTGTAGTCTCAAGTTATTTTAAATTCTCTCAGAAAATTTTAAACGTTTTACTACACTATATATACTAGTTATTTTTATCAACAATTTAAAAATTTTATCAATAATTAAAAAAAAATTTCAAATTGATTTCATTGCGATATCACTAATGATTTTTGTGACCTGACTGATTAAAAAGCATCAAAGAAAGTTAAAATAGGATGGAGAATTTGTTATATTGGGATATTCGTTTAAAAAGCGAGCAAAATTTTAATATAAAAGCGCTTATAAATCTATGCATATTGGCTCAGCTTGGCTTGGCTCGGCTTGGAATCGGATGTTAAGCAAGGTGTGGTCTTAAACTATTTTGAATTCTCCCCGAAAAATTTGAACTGCGTGCGTACATATATGGTAATGGCTACTGTTGTTTTTTATAATGAATTTATGCATATTGGCTCAGCTTGGCTTGGCTCGGCTTGGAATTGGATGTTAAGCAAGGTGTGGTCTCAAACAATTTTGAATTCTCCCCGAAAAATTTGAGCTACGTGCTTACATATATAGCACTGATTACTGTTGCTTTATAATGAATTTTTATTATATATAGGTATATATAAAGTGACTGGAATCCATGTATACAAATAATTAAATTATATTATATTACATTATGTTTATATGAAAAGCAATATAGCAGATTCAACTGCCAACCAGAAAGTTTCGAAGGCGTTCGTTCGATGACTTCAATTTAGTACGGTTAGCATTTTGGTTAAGACTGTATAATAGTGTAGTACATACATTAAATAAGTTTTTTATTGATGTGAATGATTGAAATGATAAAAATGTATGGTTGAAACGAGTATAAATAGGAGCTGAAAAAATGTTGAAATCAGATCAGGCATTTCTGCCTCGCTCGAGTCGGAGTGCCTGATCTCATTTTTTTATATTTATATTTTTTTAATTTATTTATTTTTATTTAATTTTATTTTATATATAGTTATATAGAGTTATATAGAGCTTGCATGTCTGTGGTTTGTGTGTTTGTATGTTGTATTTTTTTATATTTTAGGTGGGTTCTTTAGCGGTTGCTCATACATACATACATACATCATGTTTGTTTGTGTGGTAGTATTTTATGTTCTGTTTTACTCCTTTTTCTCTTTCTTCATGAGTCTTGAGTTAAGTTAATGAAGCATAGGTAGGTGAGGTAAAAATTAATTTATTATATAGGTAGGCTAGGGCATAAGTTAATTTAGTTACATAGGTAGGTTAGGGACTCTTATTCTTTTGCTCTACTTGGTGGTGTGATTTTTGTTTTGTGTTTTTTTTTTGTTTTGTTTCACATCATACATTCAGCAGGTACGCGGTGGTTCCTGGTTTTAGTGGGATTTTTATTGATTGAATGTGGTAGTATGCATGGTTATATAGAGTTATATAGAGTTATATAGAGTTATATAGAGTTATATAGAGTTATATAGAGTTATATAGAGTTATATAGAGTTATATAGAGTTATATAGAGTTATATAGAGTTATATAGAGTTATATAGAGTTATATAGAGTTATATAGAGTTATATAGAGTTATATAGAGTTATATAGAGTTATATAGAGTTATATAGAGTTATATAGAGTTATATAGAGTTATATAGAGTTATATAGAGTTATATAGAGTTATATAGAGTTATATAGAGTTATATAGAGTTATATAGAGTTATATAGAGTTATATAGAGTTATATAGAGTTATATAGAGTTATATAGAGTTATATAGAGTTATATAGAGTTATATAGAGTTATATAGAGTTATATAGAGTTATATAGAGTTATATAGAGTTATATAGAGTTATATAGAGTTATATAGAGTTATATAGAGTTATATAGAGTTATATAGAGTTATATAGAGTTATATAGAGTTATATAGAGTTATATAGAGTTATATAGAGTTATATAGAGTTATATAGAGTTATATAGAGTTATATAGAGTTATATAGAGTTATATAGAGTTATATAGAGTTATATAGAGTTATATAGAGTTATATAGAGTTATATAGAGTTATATAGAGTTATATAGAGCATAAATCCTATATAGATACCTTTCTTTGAGGTTCTTTTCTTTGCCGACCGGTCGGCTTCTTTGCGTTTCTCTATTTTCATTTAATTTAATTAAATAATTAAGATTTGTCAATTCATCTAGGTTCATTCAGGTTCATTCATTCAGGTTATAGCTTCCAGAGGAGTTCGTCGTGGAGGATCAGAATGGTTGTGATGTCACCCTACGTTCAACCTTAACCCTAACTTTCGACTTTACGGTTTCTTAACGGTTTCTTTTTTGCCAGTTTGCTGGCTTTTCCGGCTGGTCGATTTCACCGCGGCTCGTTTCTCTATTTTCATTTAAATTAATTAATTAAATAGGATTTTTTCATTTCATTCAGGTTGAAGCTTCCAGAGGAGTTCATCATGGAAGATGTCAGGTTACGTTCGTTCATTCAGTGGCAAAGAATACCTGCCTGACTGAGATACGTTTTCTTCTTTTTTTCTGTAATTTAACATTAAGTAGGAATGCTCACATGCACACACTCGCATACACAATTACATTAAGTAGCTATATAGGTAGGTTAGATAGGCCTAATTTTAATTGTAGGTAGGATGGATAGGGAGCATCCAACACTAATGTAGTTGAATAGGTAGGCAGCGTAAGTTTATCTCTTCTATTTTATCTTGCACCCACATTACACGCACCAGCGTATTACACACACACACACACAAATACATACATAAACACATATGTTAGTATTTGAGCGTAATTTTATTTTCATTACACATTCTAATTTATTATTACTAAGGTAGAGAGTAATTTAATTTCATAGGTAGTTAAGAGCAATAATGTAATTCTAGGAAAAATCTTGTAATGTAAATTAAAACGCTGTAAGTGTATCGATAGGTAGGTTAATTGTTAAGTTTTACATTATCATTATTAAGTTGGAGCCCAAGGCATTACGTAGGTGGTGGGGTGGGTGCCGAAAGGCCAATGAATTGGGCTCTTGAGTTTTGTAATTTTAGGTAAGCTAGGACCGTAATGTAATGAATAGGTAGGTTAAGGCTACGTTGTAACACATACTCATTAATAGATTTAGGGTTTAAGTTTTATATTATTATTACTAAGTTGGAGCCCAAGGCATTACGTAGGTGGTGGGGTGGGTGCCGAAAGGCCAATGAATTGGGCTCTTGAGTTTTGTAATTTTAGGTAAGCTAGGGCTTAATTTTAATGAATAGGTAAGTTGAGGGTACGATAGCCGATAGACTCTGAATTTCGAAGTCTCTTGTCAGAGGTAAGCCTTGGCGGCCAGTGGTGAACCGGCAATGGTTTACTATCCGGACGGCAATGGTTTACTATCTGCACGGTAATGATTTACTATGCGGCATGGCCATAGTCTACTACCCGCACGGCTTCCGGACGGCAAATGGTTTACTATCCGCAAGGCAGTAGTCTACTATCCGCACGGCAATGGTTTACTATCCGGTGCCCTGGCTGTCGGTGAA